CCAGCCCAACAGCTCACTGCCCACGAGCTCATCCTCGCCCTTAACCTCGAAATTTCACCACAGCCAATTCCACAAGCTCCACCCACCAACACCGCCGAATTGCTCGCCTTCTACGCGCGCTCACCTGCCATCCGCACACCACCTGACCTCTGGCACAGGCGCCTCGGTCACCCCTCGCAGGAAGTTCGCAACAACTGCATCTGCGCCTAAGTGTTCCTCCTCCCTGGAACTCTACTCCGCCCTGATGGAACCCCTGTCCCCGTTGCACCGACTGCACAATCTACCCTGAAACCGCACTGAAACACAGACCCTTCAAGCTACTTGAACCAAGCACAAATCGCTATGAAAAAACTCCAGAAAGTCTACAGTGGCTTCCTCGTTCTCACAAAGACAGGCATCAATGGCGAGGAGTATACTCCTACCTTCGTCGACGCCTACTCCCACTTTGTCCGGTTGGCCAACGTCTCTCACAGGAGCAAAGCGTTTGAAATCTTCAAGGTGTGGCACGCCAACGCCGAGACTCAATCCAGTTGCACCCTCAAAATCTGGCAAACGGACTGCACAACCGAATTCAAAAGTGACAAGCTCGTGGCATACATCCAAGACGAGGGGAACATCCACACAGTCTCTCTCCCCTACGCACACCCGCAGCAAGGCGTCGCCGAACGCACCAACCGCACACTCTTGACCAAAGTCTGTGCACTCCTGCAGCAGAGTGACGTTGACGCGAAGTACTAGCCCTACGTCATGCATCACGCCGTCCATCTTCACAATCTTCTAAGCACCACCGCCAACACCGACAACCCCTCGCCGCATCTCAAGTTCACCGGCAACAAGGGGGACATATCCGTGCTTCGCGTCTGGGGCTGTATGGTGTAGTATCGGCCCGCAACGGTAAACACGGGGAAGTTCGAACGGCGCGCACGCTGGGGGGTGCACCTCGGCATCAGCCTGGAGCATCAAGGCTGGAACATTCTCGACCACGACACTTCACGGGTGGTCGCAGCGCATGATGTCATCTTCTATGAAGACCTCACTATTCGCAAATTACAGAGCGACCGCCACGCCGACTGCACCCGAGGAGAAAACAACATCGCAAGCGACGAACGCCCTCCTCGCAGCTATGAAATTCCTGCAGATGAAGCAGAAGCGGCGCTCGCGGACCAAGATCCCACGGATTCTCACCCCGGCCCTCGACCAAGGAGCGACGCAGATGACGATGAAGACAGTGCGCCACTCGTATCCTCATGCAATTCCCTGCTAAGCCCCACCCCGTCTAGCTGCAACGATTCCGATGAAGATGTGTTGGAAGTTTTCAGCGAGCAGAAGCACAGCCCTGGCCTCTCGGGATTGCACATCCTTGGCCTCCACACTGCACTCTCCAGCCCACAAAAGGCGGTTGAACCCAAACCCCCCCGCCAGGCCCTTACCGACCCCTACAGCAAGGAATGGCGCGCGGCTACGGACGCTGAGGTAGCTGCACTCGAAGCTCGCTAGACCTGGGTTCTTGCAGACCGTGCCACGCTGAAGGGGAGACGTGTCCTCTTGGGCAAATGGGTTTTCCGCGTCAAAAACGCCGCCGACGGGAACATCGAGCGCTTCAAAGTCCGCTGGGTTGTCCGCGGCTTCAATCAACGCCACGACATTGTTTTCGATCAAACCTTCGCTCCCGTCAGCCGCCACATATCCGTCCGCATTCTCCTCGTCATCGTTGTTGCCAAGCATCTCCCGCTCCGCCAGATCGACGTAAAAAACGCGTTCCTCTATGCGCCAGTCGATGCACTCATCTTCGTAGAGCAACCACACACCTATGGCGACGGCGACGACGGTGTGTGTCAGCTCAAGAAATCGCTCTACGACATCAAGCAGGCGCCTCGCCTCTGGCAGCAGCATCTCCACCAAATTCTTCAAGACATCGGCTTCACTCAACTCCCTCACGATCCGGGCATGTATCGCCTTCACTAGTGCGGCGATTACATTCTTCTCACGGCATTCTTGGATAAGCTCCTCTACACAGGCACCAGCAATGCTCTTCTCGCCCAATTCGAGAAAGACCTGAGCAATCGCGTTGAAATCACCAGCACCGACCACGTCACTAAGTTCCTTGGTCTCAACATCTCCTACGCCGCTGACGTCATTCACCTCTCTGCAGCTAAGTACGCTAAAACGCTCTCTGCGAAATTCAACATGAAGTTAGCGAACATTTCAACTCCTTACCCCACCCCAGCCAACCCCAACAATCCCAACACCACCCCTCTCAACCCAACTGGACATCACCTGTACCAGCAACAACTCGGCTGTCTCCTCTTCGCTGCAGTCACGTGCAGGCCTGACTTGTCCTACATCTCGAGCCAGCTTGCTCAGTACGTCAAGCGGCATGAAGTGGAGCATATGTTGGATTTGCAGCGCGCTCTGCAGTACTTCATCTCCACACCGCACATTGGACTCACCTACTCTACTCTCACAACCCGCTCATTCGGCCTCGTTGGCTACGTGGACGCAGACCACGTCGTCGAACCTGCAAATCTTCGGTCCCGAACCGGCTTCATTTTCCGCCTCGAGCCCACCGGACCAATTTCTTGAAATTCCTAGAAGCAAGAAAGTGCGGCGCTCTCCTCCGCTGAAGCTAAGTTCATCGCTGCCATGTCAGCCGTTCACGAAGGGCTCTACCTCTAGGAGCTGCTTCAGGAGGTGAAAATTGCGACATCTGCGAGCTTCAAGCTTCACAGCCACAACCAGAGCACGAAAAAAATCGCGAACAAGCCCGGCTTCGTCAACCGCACCAAGCACATCGCACTCCGCTACTTCTTCGTCAAAGACGAAGTTGACAAAGGCAAAGTCATCTTGACTTACTGCCCCACCGGTGACATGGGAGCTAACTTTCTCACCAAGAAGCTGCCTCGTCAGCAGTACCACCGCTCCGGAAGCATCTGCGGTATAACCAAGCGCGTCAAGACTTCGCTTAATCAGGAATGAAGGGGAGTGTTACGATATGGAATTGTTGAATAACATTCCTACAGTAACGAACTCTTAACGCGAAGATGACTGCAGCGAGGACGACGACTGAGCGATACAAACAGTTATCGAAGACGGTTGCAAGCAGGAAGAATTTGAAGTGAAAAGGCGCGGGAAAAGCATTCAAACAGTTGCCGTGGCGCGTACCGTTATCGAAGCGTACGGTTGTTTTTTTTTTCGATCTAGATTAGCTATAAGGAAAATGTACTCCCTTAAAGTACATGGCTCGCCAGGACCTTTCGTTTTCCATTGTATTCCTATATTAACCCTTGTACCGCATTGTATTCGTTAGTTCTGACGAGATTCAAATCACTTTTTTTCTGACAGAGTTCATACCCAACATCAATAGCAAACCTTCCGCTGCTACACTACGTCCGTTCAACCTGATACGATCCTATAAAGCCGTTTCAGATTGTAACAAGGTTGGGTTGCGACGGGTGTAGTGGCGAGAATGCGGTCAAGGCAAATGTTGCGAGTGGTAACGGTGTGCTTGGGTGTGGTGCGACGAAAGGAAAATGAATTTTCTTTACACAAGATGCCCAACCCCTGCACGCGAATTTGCCCTGCCCGCGATGGAAACTCTGCACCCGTGTATTAGGGTACCAGCCAGTTGCACCCCATTTACAAGCACCTCGAGCAATACGAACCACAAAAACCGAAGTTTGACAGAAGAGACCCATGTTGAACGGTCAACAGCGAGTTACAAAATCTTTTAAAAGCCCTTTTTGCTAAGTGCGAATTGACGAAAGCTTAGCGAAATGCAAGAATCACTTAAGAGCCCTCTTCACAAGGCAACCTTGGGTTAGTCAAACGGGCATCGTGTGTACATAGATTAATTTGTGCAATTAAAATCACCATTGATTTAGAATCCACAGCAGCCACGGCGTGCTGTTTCCCTAGAATCGACAGTCCATCCATCGTTGTATGCCGACAAACGAGCCCCCTGAACACGGCATGACGAATCGGACGTCGTCGTCGGTTTCGATGCCAGATTTACACGCCACCGCCGTTTTCGGTTGCACGCGTGAGCATGGAATCACCAAGGATGGCTGATGGATTTTGTCGAGGGATGTGCATCAGGTGGGAGAACTGAACCTTCGTGTCACCAGATCCGGCTACAGTATAAGTCGCTTGTACAGTACAGTTCAGTGCTGAAATGACGTGGCTTTGTACGTGTACATCTTTTCTGGGCACCCACTACTGTCATAGCAGCTTGACAATGGACGCGGGCAGCCGGAAGTTACAAATTTCTGACCAACTTCAGCGTGTTGTGCTTCAGTATTGCATTCCGAACGCTGTGGGTGTGAAATAGGATCCGGACTGTACTAGCTGCTTGAATGATTAAATAGGATTTTCAAACCATGGTGAGGGGCAGATACGGTCAGGCAAGACAGCGCGAACAATTTGGGCAGGCCATTCGATTTTGCACTATTCCTGTCTGTTGTGACAACTGTGCGGAGTACATGTTAGTCGTATCCTTCTGCTTTCCTTCGTCGAACTTCGTCAGGGAAAGAAGGGAATCGAAACTGCAGATTTGGCTGGGGCTGGACGATATGGCATTTCGCACCTGGGGCCCATCCACAAAATCGACACATGCGTACATTTGTTGAACCTTAATTCTCGAGACACTTCTTCCGTGTCATATTGTGTGCCGCAAAGTACATCGAAGGGTGACATCATCTGCTGTGGGAACAAGAATCAGGGTTCTGGTTGCACACGGGCCGCTGGTTAGGGCGAAGTCAGGTTGTACTTTCCTGCATTGTGGCTCATGACGGTTCCACACGGTGGAAAGCGGGCCCCAAGGTGTACCGCTTCTCACCGTGACGAAACGAAGGTGACCGCAGCGTACACATCGCATTCACTACAAACACAGCCCCACCAACGTCCTCCTTGCCCATCTATACAATTTGGTTATTTCTGTCATTTCAAATTCAAGGAAACCAGCTATCGCCATCCTCCCCCGCTGTAAGCCGAAGCCCTTCCTCATGGGCTCCAAAACCGCAGTTGCTCACAGCCCTGGACTCTCACCTTCCGATCTCCCTCCCGATTTAGACTGGCCACTCGCCGCCCTCCCTGCATTGCGTTCTCGCGGCCTGCGAAGTCAATTCCCTGGCGAATCCCGCTCGTTTGATCGCGAGCGTATCTTGAGCACGACAGACTCCCTCGGGCTAAGCCCACGACGGACTCGCGTGAGGAGATGTTCTCCTAGCGCTTCCCCCCAATCCGCGGAAGGATCATGGGCGGAAGCTGTTGCGGCGGGAAGGAGGAAACACAGCGAACACGCCACTGGCAGGCCCGCGCTGTCCCCTTTGAGATCTGGTTTCGCCTCCGCGCTACTCTCCCCGCCCAGCGAAAATACGTGGCGCCCCGCAGCGCTGACGGCGGTGCGCGGCAGCCCGTTGGGCGGATCCGCGCGCCACGATACGGCGCCCGCATCGGTCGACATGGAGCAGCTGTGGGCGGAGGCCGCCTCCGACAAAGCAGGCGGCGCCGCCGCGGCGCGGCGCACCCGCAAAAATCGTATTGTCCGAGGACGCGCGCGAAACATGTCGTTTTCCGACTTCAGCTCGCTCCGCGGCGCTTTGGGAGAAGAGAAAGCGCCGGGAACTCCCCGGAGAGCGGACGCCGCCTTCGAATGCCGCGTGATCGGCTGGAGCCCCTGCCCTCCGCCGTGGGACGGAGAAGCTCCGCCGGTCTCCGCCGAGCCGCCGCAGCAGGAGAGCGGCGCCGCCGCGGCGGCCAGCGCGAGGCCGTCGATAACGAACCGACGTCCCGCCGCAACGGCAGCAATCCGCAACTTGAAGCTGCGGATTTTCCCCAACCGCGGGCGGGATGAATCTTCCGCCACCGCATCGTCCCCTTCAGCAGCAGTTGTGGTTTCTCCGCCGGCAACGACACCTGCTTCCGCCTGCGTTACAACTGGTACAGTTTTCGCCGCTTCCCCGCCGTCTCGTTTAGAAGGACCCGGCGAGCGCGTCCCTTCGCCGAGTCTTAGTATGAAGCCGCGCAACAGCCTGAGCCTGTTGAGGGGGGCGGCGGGATCCGCCAGCGGCGCTGGCGGCGCGGGGATTCCGAAGTCTCCTTCACAGCGGCGGGGACTGTCGGGAGTTTCCGCGAGGCGGAGAAGCTTCAGCGGTGAAGGCGCTGCGCCCGGGAAGCTTGTTTCGCTCGTTCATGTGGCGGGGACCGGCGGGGGTTGCGACGAGCCTGCGACGGTTGTTCCATTCGTGCGAGAGGAGGAGGACAAGCAAGAGCCGCCGCTGCAGGGGGCATCGCAGAAGGCATCCAAGCCAACTCACATGCGAAGTCGTAGTGGCACTGCTATCGGAGGGGAGCAGCACGCGGCAGAGCAGGAGATCCAATTTCGAGTCGACCTGCTTTGTGGGCTGCAGGCAGGGCGTTTGGACGGGGCTGCAGGCGAAATGACGACACGCAGTTGCGAAGCGGATGGTGAAGAATCTCGAGGGCAGACTCGGGCCGCGGCGTCGTACCACGAGACGATGGATCTGGAATTGGAGGATTACTTTGGAGATATTGTGCATGCATGGAACATGGCGAGCCCAAGCCGTGGCTGTGACTCAGTAAAGGTGGAAAAGGGAGAAGCGGGATGGAAGAAACTGGCGGGAGAATCGAGGGGGGAGGACGAATGGATGGGATGGAGGAAGAGGGACAAGGGGAGTCTTGGCGCATGTGCAGTTTAAGTAGCGGCGTGGGTGTTTTGGAAGGAGATCAATGACTTGTACACTAGCAGATGTTGGGAGGAAGTGGAGGAAAAGGAGAAAGGTAGGAGCAGGAGGAGCAGCAGTAGCAGAGTTACAAGTGCCTATTTGTGACTTAGCAAGTTAACGGGTGGGAAAAGCAGTTCGAAGAGATTGATTTTAGATTCTGTAATCTTAGTACTTCTAAGTCAAAGGCTGTAGTTAGTCACCATATTGTGATCGTCATGTGAATCTTACAGACATTCACAATACACAAACATTTGAGAAGCTCTCACGAGCCACAAATACTGTACACGCATCGCATTATCGACCACTCGATTTGGGACTGCGTACTGTACTCACAGAGGCAACGCCAGCCTGGATTTTACGGCGATCAACCAACCACCAAGCCGTGACCCTCCCGGACAGGGCTGACGATTCAAGGGCAAATGCCCTTAATGCCCTGAACATTAAGGGCTGGGTTGGGCCTAGCTTCCGAATTTTAAGGGTTGGATTTGAGGGCAGCCCGCCCCTTAAAGTGCTGGTTGTGGGCCTAACCCGGATTTCAAGTGCAGATCCCGCGGCTAGCCCTTATTGTCCCATACTAACACCTCCCTCCCTCCCATTCCCCTACCCTTCCCCCCACCTCTTTCCAGCCACCTCCCCCACTTCCTTCCTTTTCCCATCCCCGTCAAATCCATCGACATGTTTCGTATCTCCGAATAAATGTAGGGTTTTCCTTAGCGAAGTGCAAAAAAGCTGGTAGCCCTGATTTCAAGTGCAAGGTTTGCTCTCAGCCCGTAAATTTCAGGGCAACTTTTGGGGCACCTCAGCCTCTCAAGTTCTGGCTCCAAACCAATCGACAGCCCTGCTCCCGGACTGGAGCCCATGTGTGCGCTGGGGGGGAGCAATTTGGTGTCGAGCGGGCCAGAAACGATTTTGCTCAGGGGGGAGCGCAAAGCAAGCACGCACCCAATCACGTGAGTGAGTGTGGGCAGACCATTTGATTTTGTACGGATTCGGTGTTGTGCTCTATGCGCAATACGAAAGTCGTTACTTCTGTTCTTTTTCCTTCATCGAACTTCGCCAGGGTGAATGGCGCTTCGCATCTGCGCACATCCCCAAGGATGACCCGTGTGTAACCGTTTCAGGCAGTCGTGAACCTTTTCGCACTGCCGTAATTCGGCTGCTCCTGTAATGCGCTTTCGCTGTCTAAACGGCCGCAGTAACTGAGAGTAGGGGACTGGTTTTCGAACATTACACGGCATACGTGCCCAGCATGTCACACACACCTGCCTGATACCGATTTTTAGCCGCATACCACACACTCGCACACACACATCCTCTCCGCAACTCACATCAGCGATGCCGATTATTTGTCGCTAAAGAGAACCAGCTACCCACAACCATTTTCCAGTATTTGCTGAAACCCTTCCCCATGGCCTCTCAAACTGCGGTTGTTCATAGTCCGGTACTCTCACCATCCGATCTCTCTCCTGACGTAGACTGGCCACTCGCCAACTCCCCCGCAATTCGCGCTCGCCGCTGCCCGCGAACTCAATGCCCTGGCGAAACCCGCTCGCTAGACCGCGAGCGCGCGTTGAATACCACAGCCGCCCTCGCGCTAAGCCCAAGGGCGCAGAATCGCGTGAGGAGATATTCCCCTAACACTTCCCCCCAATCCGCGGAAGGAACATGGGCGGACGCTGTCGCGGCCGGAAGGCGGAAACGCCTCGAGCACCCGGCGGCACTGTCCCCCTTGGGATCCGGTTCCGCCTCCGCGCTAGTTTCCCCGTGCGGCGGCGGCGGCGGCGGAAGCCCGGCATGGCGCCCCGCCGCACTGGCGGCGGTGCGCAGCCCTCTCGCGCCCGTCGTGCGCCACAGGGCGACCGCGTCGGTCGACATGGAGGAGCTATGGGCGGAGGAAGCTTCCGACGAAACCAGCGGCGCAGCGCGCCGGCCACGGAGAAATCGTATCATTATCCGGCGCGCGCGAAACGCGTCCTCCGACTTTCCCTCGCTCCGCAGCGCGCTGGGAGACGAAAAGCCGCCGGGGAGCGCCGACGGCGGCAGCGGCCGCCGCGCCGCGACCGGGTGGGTTCCGACGGCGCCGCCGTGGGAGGGAGAAGCTCCGGACTCCGCTGAGGGTAGCGACGCCGCGAGACCGTCGATTATCAGCCGACGTCCCGGCGCGACGGCGATTCGCAAGTTGCGCATTTTCTCCAACCGCGGCCGGGATTCGACCTCCGTCGCCGCATTCGCTGCGCCTGCGGGTTCTGCCGCATCTTCTCCTGGGACTGACGCGGCGGCAGCGTCCGCCGCAGCGGGAAACGGTGCGGCACCTGGCGAAGGCCTCGAGGGTGTTTCTGCGCCGAGTCGTACGCGCGGAGGCAGATTGATGGTGAAATCCGCCGGCGGCGGCGGGACGGTTCTTAAGACCTCTCCTCAGGGGCAGCGGGGACGGGCTGGAGTTGCGGTGAGGCGGCGGAGAAGCTTCAGCGAATACGAAGCGGATCCTGCCGCGACGGTTGTTCCGTTTGTGCGACGAGAGGAGGACGAGCAGCGGGAGTCGCAACGGCCATCACAGGAGTCGTCGCAGCCGTCGCACATCATGCGAAGTCTTGACAGCGGTGAGGGGCGTCAAGAAGCGGCAGGGCAGGAAAACGCCGACGCGCTCCGTGCGCCGCCGCGTTCGGACAAGGCCAGCGAAATGACGAAACGCAGTGGCGAAACGGGTGGCGAAGAATCTAAGTGGCGAAACGGAGGGCAGCTGAGGGCCGCGTCGTATCACGAGGGCACCAGCGGGCCTCGCAGTAGCGAAACGGCTGGCGAACAATCTCGAGGGCAGCAGAGGGCCGCGTCGTATCACGAGGAGCGGAGGGCCGCGTCGTATCACGAGGAGCTGGCTTCGGACTTGGTGGATTATTTCGGCGAAATTGCGCAGTCCTGGAGCATTGAGTGCTCAGGCCGCACGTGCGACTCGGTAGAACATCCTCGTGAAGCGGAAGCTGGCGAAATTGCGCAGTCATGGAACACGGCGAGTTCAAGCCGTGGCTGCGACTCGGTGCTAGACGAAGCGGAAGCTCTTGCTGCTCAGGTTGAAACGATGTTTGGGGAGGCGGGAAAGGGAGAAGGGGGAGGGGAGAGACGAGCGGAGGGGAAGGAGGGGGACGGAGGAGTGGATGGAATGAAGGAGAAAGAACTCATGGAGTCATGGCGCATGTGCAGTTTGAGTAGCGGCGTGGGGGTGGTGGAAGGAGATGCGTAAACTTGTACACAACAGGATGCTGGTGTGGAAGAGGAGGAAAGGGAGCAAGGTAGGAGCAGGAGGGGCAGCAGCAGTAGAGCCACAGCATTGTAACCCAGTTGGAGAGAATCCTATTGGAAGGGGAAAGGAGCAGGTGCACTTTTGAGTCAAATGTCACCTTCTGTGTTGACGCGGAAGGTAAGAGCAGGAGGCGCAGCAGCAGTAGAGCCACAGTCTAGTCTGCTTGTAAATAATAATCTTCACGTTGTAATCATGAACTTCCTGCTAGCGCGTCCCTGGCCTTCATCATGCAGCTCACGCCGTCCCTTCTCTCCCCATCGTTCCTTCTCCCTCTCCACCCTTCTCTCCCCCTCCTTTCTCCCTCCATCCTCCTTTCCCCCTCCGTCCGTCCTCCCTTCTCCCTCCATCCTCCCCCATTCCACATTCTCCCTCCGTCCACCCTTCCCCCTCCATCCTCCCTTCTCCCTCCATCCTCCTCGCTCCCCTTCCGTCCTGTTTCTCTCCCCCCCCCCCCCCCCCCCCCCCCTTCCCCCTTTCTCCCTCCTCTTTCCCAAAAAAAAACTCTCAGATAACCCCTGATCCATCAGGGTGTTACTGGAGAGCGTAATCATAGCCATGTAACTACAAGCATTACCGTACATCCACAAAAAGCCCAGGACATTTCTGAGTATATAGTGGCACATAAATGTACTGTACTAGTAAATACAAATGCCATCATCACTGGCTTGATTGGACTGCTGGCTGTCAATGGTGTAGGTACAGTGTTCGATTCTTCCTCTGGTGGACACCAGTGAACGTCCAAGCTTTCAGGAGCGTCTATCCATGCACTGTCGTCCACGCGGAGGGTGCAGTCTCCACTTTTCGCGGGAGAAGCTGGCGGTTGAGGGTGCGGTTGGTTGGTTGGACGGACAGCAAATCGTCCGCTGAGTACGAACGAGTGGGGCCTGCAGATTCCAAACTCCAGTCATCGCAAAACAAGGGGGCATCCGGTCGCAAGGGGGGGAAGTCTGCCGCTCGGTCCGCTTGTTTCAGGAGCAGTCTCGCTTTGTGCATGCGCAAACCTCTCAACTCCTTCCTTCCTTTCAGGCTCGCCCTGGCAGCTTCGGGACAGGTTCGGCTGGCATTCGGTCTAGCATCCCTGTGGTACTGTTCGATAGTCCCCTCATGGCTAGTTCAGTCCCGTTACTCTCTAATTTTTTCGCACTATCTCAACTCAAGGAAGCGCGGCATGCGAGCTGATAAGGGAATGGCTGGCGTGATTATTCGTTTCACAGCCGACTTTGGAGGAGTAAATAGTTTGTGGCCGATCATTTGCCGCTGGCTTTGCCAACCAGTCGTCACGAATCGTCGTTCGCTTCCTATTTTGTGCAGGCTGAAGCACTCTTTATGTTTGCTTTCACTAGGTTCCTGTGCGAACCTGTGCTGGACTGCGTAATTCCGTCCCATTTTAAGAGCCATGAAGCCATTTCCGCCTGCTTTGTAACGCGAGACATTAGCGATTTCATTGAAGCGGTCAGCTATTACCTTACCACGGTTTGGCGGATTTAACGGCGATTGCCACTTTAGGTCAGGCCTAAATAAATAGTATAAGCGTAGACGCCCGAGGTGGTTATCTCAGACATTACGGTATTCACAGTTTTTTTTTTTTTTTTTTTTTTTTTTTCTTTTCGTGTTTTCATCAAAACTATAGAAATTTTGGTCCTAATCAACATCTGCGAGCGATTGGCCGTGAAATCTAAAGAAGCGAAAAGTTCCAAGGCTGCATCGTCGATTCGCCGACAATGTGGCTCGTGGAAGTGCCTGGATCATGGGTCTCCGACGATTCCGTTCTCAAGGACACCTTAGAAGCTTCCTGGTCGTTTCTTCAGCAAGTGCTGACGTTAGCCTCTGCCTCGTCTTCTCAGGTCCAGCATCAGCAACGCCATCAGCAGCCAAGCTACCCGTCAGTCCCGACGTCCAAACCGAAAGGCGATGCTAGCGTTATTATCGTTCTGGTATCGGTTGTGATATATTCGAATGCTCGCAACCCCTCGGAAGCGTCACGTGCTGCGGGTTTGCGTGACAGCTTGCGCGAGAAAAGACGTGGCGATGAAAACTCTGAGCAGGAGGATCGGATCTGGAGGGACCTGTTGAAGCCTCTCCTGCAGCGAGCCATGGCGATGGGCAAGGTGAGACTCGCGAAGGTGAAGGAATCCGAAGGATACAAAGTCGAAGGTGAGAAGATTAAGGTGGGGGGATTTTGTAAAGTATTGAAGAAAATCGAAGGAGAGGATCGAAGGAGAGAGCATGAATTGTAGCCGTTTTCAAGGCGAACTATACCGATCGAGGCCATTCTGCGCTATTCGTGTTGAATGAGGGTACACCTTGTTCTGTCGAACGAAGGTAGTCGTACTTGCCAATAATGTGCTATTCAGATGGTCCCACTCTTCTCAAGTTCTGTACATCATTCCCTTTCTCTTCGTCCACACCCTCCGTCTCCCTGTGCCTATTGTTCGCCTCTCCCCTGTCCCTCCCAGGCAATGGTAATCGGCCACGTGGAGCGCAGCGCGTCTCGCGCAGACGGCCTCTGTGCCGCGGCTCGCTGGTTCCCCGCCTCTCGCCTCTACACAACACCCGCCGCCGTCGCCGCCGCCGCCGCCGCCGCCGCCGCCGCTGCAGCAGCTGCTGCTGACTCCTATCCGCTGCCACAGAGCCTCGCCTATCCCTCCGCTGATCTCACCCTTCCTCTGACGTTCGCTAGTAGCCTGCCTTCGACCTGCAAGCTCGCTACGGTCACCTCTTCCAATAGTCACTCGCGAAACGGCTCGCCGACAGAGATAGACGAGAACGGGCCGACCGCGGACGGGTGGGATAATGGCGGGGAGACTGGGGACGAGAATGGGGGGGCGCAGCGGTGCAGCTTCAGCACAGACGATGGGGCGAGCGTGGGGGAGAGCAGTAGGTGGAGTATGAGTAGCGGCGGCAGCAGCGCCAGCAGAAACAGTCGTTGCAGTAGCAGTACCAGTGGCACCAGCAGCAGCAGCATCAGCAGCAGCAGCAGCAGCAGCAGCAGTAGTAGCGGCACTATCAACAATCGTAGCTCCCAGAAAGGTGCTCTGCCTTACCCGCCACACTCTCTCCCGCCACACTCTCTCCCGCAGGAGTTTCTCCCCCTAGCTGCCTCTTACTCATCCGGTGCAGCCGCGCCTGCTCTCTCCTCCGCACTGTCAGGGCCATCCGCTTCGTCCTCTTCTTCCTTCCCTTCCTCCTCCTCCTCCTCCTCCTCCTCCTCCTCCTCCTCCTCCTCCTCCTCCTCCTCCTCCTCCTCCTCCTCCTCCTCCTCCTCCTCCTCCTCCTCCTCCTCCTCCTCCTCCTCCTCCTCCTCCGTCTCTTACGAGCTGACGCGCTACCCCTGGCACGAGGAGGAGAAGCAGAGGAGCTACAAGGAGCTACAGCCGCTGCCGCGCTTGCAGCAGCAGCTGCTGCATGTGCGCAAACCCACCCTCGCCCCACCGCTGCTGCGCCGCCACACTGTAAGCACCGACCCAGATTGCGCCACCACCACCAGCACCACCAGCAGCACCACCGTCACGAGAAGCACTACCACTGGCAGCAGCAAGAGCAGCAGCAGCGGCTTCCCTCAGGGCAACGCCGCAGCAGGGCCTGTCATTGTCCCCCTTGCCCCGCTCCATCTCACAGTCTCAGAAGCTTCAGTTGCTGCTCTTCCTATGGGTATCAGCAATTCCTGTACCAGCCCCGACGTAGCTACCTTCGCTACTAGTAACCGTCCTACCAGAACAGACGCCTCAGGTGCTCTCATCAGATTCCCGTCCTTCCAGGCAGGCTCGGAGCTCCGGGGCCCAGGCGGTTCTTCAGGTGAAAACAGCAGAGACCTGGGGTTGGGCTCAGGAGATACGGCAGCTGATGTAGCAGCTGCGCAATTAGTGGCGGGTGCAGCAATGGGAGGCAGAAACGTCAGCAGGGTGATAGGGGCTGTTGGTGTTAGCGGGGGGTTTGAGGCTGGTGTTGGGAGTAGGGAGAACGAGACTTGTGCTGATGCTGGCCCGGCTGCTGTGGGTGAAGCTGATGGAACTGGCGTGGACGGTGCTGCCCGCGGGCAGAATAAAAGCCTCCGAAAGAGCCGTCAAAAGGGCCTCAGCAGGAGCAACAGTCTGGATAGAGTTGACTTCTCGGACTGGGTTGTGGAGATGGAGGGAGGAGAAAGCGCGGCCAGTGGTGGTGGGCCCTGTAATGCACAGCCTCGTTCAGACGACCCAAATTCGTCCGCTAGTATCCGTCTGTTTGGCTCAAAAGGCGAGTGGACAGGGAGAGGGGAGGATGACCGGCTTGGTAGTGTTAGGGTGGACAGGGTGGACAGGGTGGACAGGGTGGACAGGGTGGACAGGGTGGACAGGGTGGACAGGGTGGACAGGGGGAGTGGGAAGGGAGTGTCTGTGGGGAAAGTCGCCGGGCAGGAGCTGGGAGTCGGTGGGAGAAGCGAGGAAGGCGTGGGGGTACGGGAGGGAGGGAGCGGAGTTGGGCGGGAGAAAGAGGAGTGGATGCGTGGGGGGGCGCGGGGGATTAGGGGGCCGGGGGGCGCGGGCGGAGTGATGGCGGGCGCGGAGGCCAGCAGCAGCAGCAGCAGCAGCAGGGAAGGGGGGGGGGAAGCAGCAGGCATGTTCCTGCATGTGGATGCGGGGAAAGCAGGCATGTTCCTGCACGCGATGAGGAAGGCTAAGGTGCCGAGGGAAGGGCGGGGGATGGGCGCAGTGGGGGGCGGGGGGGGGCGCGTGGGGGGCGTGCGGAGCGCGGGGTATATCGCGCTGCCTGCTGTACAGGAGCATGGTGGGCAGTGTGGGGAGCAGGGGGCAGAGCGGGCAGAGCGGGCAGAGCAGGCAGACGGACAGTCGGCTGCTGATACTACTCTGCCCGGAGGCCAGCACACAGAGAGAGAGAAGGGCGGGGAGCAGTCAGGTGGCTTGCGTGACAGGGTGGCTTTGAACGAAGCAGAGGCGGCTGCAGGCGTGTGGAAAAAGCAGTGGGCGCACGGGCGGAAGATAGGGCATGAGAAGAGTTGCGGAAGGGAGGGACGTGAGAGGAAGGGAGACGAGAAGGGTGGTGAGAAGGGGCGGGGTAGAGAAGGGGTTAGAAAAGCCCCTCAGGATTTTGAGGAGCTAATGAGATATGCAGCTACTGCTATGGATGTGGGGGAGAGAGGAGAAGGACAGGAGGGTACAGGGAAAGATGGTCGGGGAGGGGGGGATGTTCAAGGAAGAGAGGGGAGTGTGGGCGAGGGCGACAGGGGAATGAAGAAGGCGAGAAGCTTCCCGGATATTGTAGAGAAGGTGAGATGTCGAAAAGGATTCAAACATGATCGGGCCTGTGTTGCTTTCAGTCGTGTTCTGCTCTCTTCTTGATCCCTCTCTCCCTCCAGACTTCTCTCTGTCCCTCCTTACGGACCTCTCTCCCTCGCCCCTCCTTCCCTCCTTCCCCCCCTCCCTTCCCCCCTCCCTCCCTCACTCACTCTCACCCCGTGAAACCGGGTGTTTCCAACCCAAAGGGTTGTTTCCAGAAATCGGGGTGTTTCCAACCCTTTGTAACGTCTGAAAATCGATTTCTGCGCTCTCGCCCCCTCTTTCCCCCTGCCCATTCAGGTCCCACTACCAGCCTGTAGGGCCTTGCCGTGGCTTGCATTGCACCAACCCTTGCCATGGGTCCCTGTGCGTGCAGCGAGAGGCAGCGGTGTTTCCAACCTGCTGGGACGTCTGGAAACCTATCTCTGCCTCCCTCCCCGCCCCGTGTAAAAAGTGAAATTTTGAGACGTCTCACAAAAGGCCATGCCCCTCTCCTCCTCACCTCTCGCCCCCAAATCCCCCATTCCCCTCCAACCCCATTTCCCCCTGCCCGTTCGCCACCCCCCACCACCAGCCTGAAGGGCCGCCCAACCCTCGGCGTGGGTCCCTGTGCGTGCAGCAAGGGGCAGCCGCGTTCTCTAACCCCTGGGCTGCTTGTGACAACCTAACCAGCAGCAGCACTGCCAGCATCAGCAGTGCGAGAAGCACTACCAGCAGCAGCAGCAGCAGACCAGCTGTCAGAGGCATGGCAACAAGTATGGAGGCAGGCACGGTGGCAGGCACGGTGGCAGGCACGGAACCATTTGTGGCAGCAGGCATGGGAGCAGGCATGGGAGCAGGCATGGGAGCAGGCATGGGAGCAGGCATGGGAGCAGGCATGGGAGCAGGCATGGGAGCAGGCATGGGAGCAGGCATGGGAGCAGGCATGGGAGCAGGCATGGGAGGAGCACAAGAGCTGGCTAGGAAACGGCTTGAGCAAGCACTGGGTGCAGCAGCCGTGTTTCGGGATGGAAGGGGGAGTAGGGAGGGGTGTGGTGCGGAGGGGGGTGGTGAGGAGGGTGGAGAGGTAGGTGGGGATGAGCAAGAGGAGGGATTATCAGCAGCGGAGCTTGCAAGGAAACGGTTACAGGAAGCACTTGGGGTGCTGGAAAGTGGGAGTGGGATGTGGGAGAACAGTGGGGAAGGGGAGGGGGAGGGGGAGGGGGAGGGGGAGGGGGAGGGGGGCGGCGGTGAGGGGGGGGAGCTGACAGCAGCAGAGATGGCGAGGCGGCAGTTACTGGAGGCACTGGGGGTGGACGAGGAGGACGGGGATGACTGGTTGGGGGATGACATGGGTCTGGGCGCGGCTGTGGTGGCTGCGAGACGCATCTCCATGAATAGCTGGTCTTCCAGCGCTACGGTGAGCTTTATGGGTGTGATTGTGTTAAGTGTGACTTTAACTGGGCTGTGGTGGCTGCGAGACGCATCTCCATCAACAGCTGGTCTTCCAGTGCCACGGAGAGCTCCAACTCCATGGAGGTGATTCTATCATCCTGGTGTAAGTGTCAATGTATTGGGCTCATGCGATCGTGTTAAATGTGTCTTTGTCAGCACCACCTCCCCAACCCCTTCTCCCCCTCCCTCCCATCTACCCACCAACCCCCCACCAGCCCTCCCGCGCAAGCATGCAGCTCAATGGCTGCCTCTGCCAGAAGATGGCTGAGCTGCCACAGCGGCTCCTTAAACCCATCCCTTCCCCTTCCCTCCCTCCCTCCCTCCCTCCCTCCCTACACAGCCCTCCCGCACGAGCATGCAGCTAAACGGCTTCCTCTGCCAGGAGATGGCAGAGCTGGCACAGCGGCTCCGCAGAGACGAACAAGCAACCGGGGAAGGGGCGGGCGCTTCAGCAACGGCAGGAGGAGGAGGGGGAGGGGGAGGGGGAGGGGGAGGGGGGGGGGGGGGGGGGGGAGGGGGAGGGGGAGGGGGAGGGTCAGGGAGCAACAGTAGCAGCAGCAGCCGCAGCATCTTCGATCGGTCGACAGGGTCAGCGGAATGTGCAGCAGTGACGGTGTTAGAGGAGGAGCAGCAACAGCAGCAACAGCAACAGCAGCAGCAGCAGCAACAGCCGATTCTTTCACCCTGGCAGCAGCAGCAGCAGCAGCAGGAGGTGCAGCAGATGCAGAGGGCCAGTCTTGACCCATGCGTGCCAGAGCAAGGCCCCCGCCGCGCCGCCTCCTCTGACTTCACGAGCGAGAGAGAGGGGCGGGAGCAGGTGGAAGGGGAGAGGCAGAGAAGGAACAGCGACAGCTCGCAGCGATCGGTGGGGGGGAGGAGACTGCTGGAGAGGGAAGAGCAGGGGCAGGGGCAGGGGCAGGGGCAGGGGCAGGGGCAGGGGCAGTGGCAGGGGCAGGGGCAGTGGCAGGAGAGAAATAGATTTGGAGAGGCAGTGGAAAGCACGCACGGAACGCATGTGCAGCATGGAAGCTGTGGGCCTGGTTTGGACGCTCTGTCAGCAACAACAGCAGGAACAACGGCCTCTGTGGCAGCAAAGCTTCCTTTAGAAGAATCACCTTGGTTGGAAAAAGCACTTGTTTCCTGCGCTCTTCCTCCCTCCTCCGCTTCTGCGTCCTCTCCAGCCCACCCACCCCCCTCGCCTCCTCGCTGCCTGCTCTTCTCCCCTGCCGACTTAGCCACCATCACCAACGGATTCGCCCAGGAGAACTTTCTCGGAAGCGGGGCGTACGGCCCCGTGTATCGCGGCCGGCTGGATCCGACCAATTACAGCGCGCCAGCTGGCAGCAGAGGAGAGTCGGTTGAAGGTGCACATCATGTTAACCAGTGTGGTAACCAGAGTGGTTACGGCAGCTCGGAGGGCATGCAGGTGGCGGTGAAGGTGCACAGGTCGGCCAGCAAGCAGGAGGCAATAGAGGCGTTTGTGAGAGAGGTGGATATCCTTTTACGTGTGCAGCACACACATATCGTGCGCCTGGTAGGGCGCTGCGACCATGACTTGTCTCTCGTGTATGAGTTCATGGGGGGAGGGAGTCTCCAGGACCAGCTGCTAAGGGCTAAGAATGGGGCGGCTGATGCAGTTGCAGGTGCAGCAGCAGCAGGTGCAGCAGCAGCAGGAGCAGCAGGAGCAGCAGGAGCAGCAGGAGGAGCAGCAGGAGCAGCAGGAGGAGCAGGAGGAGTGGAAGCAGCGGGAGCAGCAGCAGTGGTAGCAGAACAAGGAGCAGTCACCGCTCCTGCACCGGGCTCAAACTTCCCACTCCCCCTCCACCTATCGTGGCGCGACCGAGTGCGCATAGCAGCAGAAGTGGCGTCCGCCCTGCTCTGCCTGCACCAGTCCCACCCGCCCATCCTCCACCGGGACCTCAAGCCCGATAACATCCTCCTTGACCAGTCGCGCACCAGCAAGGTCGCTGACGTGGGCCTCTCCTGCGTCGTCCCGTCGTCCAACGTGGTGTTTACCCGGAAAGTCCGCGGGACGATCGGGTTTATAGACCCCGAAGCGGTGGAGTCCGGGGAGTTGACGACCAAGTCGGATGTGTATGCGTACGGGGTGGTGCTGATGTTGCTGCTGACGCGTTTTCCCGCAGCTAGGGACCTGCACAGGTATCTGAGCTCGCTCCCGTTTGAGGTTTTGAGGAGCCCGGTACGTGCTGCTGCAGTTATTGCGGGGCTGGAAAGCAGTGGCAGCGGCAGTGGCAGTGGCAGTAAAACCAGCAGTCTCGGCGGTATCGACAGCGGCAGTGTTGGTGGCAGTGGAAGCAGCAGCGGAAGCAGCAGCAGGAGCATGGGGCAGTTGGATCCGTCAGCAGGGGAGTGGGACTTGGGGTTGGCTCACCGGCTGCTGGTGGTGGCGATGAGGTGCCTGGAAAGAACGTCAGAGCGACGGCCGTACATGGATGAAGTGATGCATGCAGTGGGTGCAGTGGCGAGGGATGCTGCCGCCATGGGGGCCAAAGTGGAGTGAGGCAAGTGTGCTGATGTATTCTAGACGAATACGGGTCAGCATACAAGAACGAGACTAGGTTTGGTTGTCAAACAATTACCTGACGTGACGGAGACGAACCATGTGTTGCAGCTAGTGTAGTAAGCGGAATGTAGGCGCTAAAATGCTATGAAGGATTGCTAGTGAAATACATGTTGTAGAGGGATGTTATGAGATATTCTGTAATCAATTATATGAAGATAAGCATTTGCTGGGTAGCCTGATGGTCAAGCTGGTTCACATGGGGGTCTTTGGCCTAACTAGGGCACTAGTTTGTGCTCAACCTATCTTACCTAGCATGTATATGAAAGTGTTCTGTTTCTTAGCTGTGAAATTGTTGGGGGAAATGCAATAGCGTAGTCTGTTGAATTGCGTGTTGACTCAGCTTGTGAGTGTTGCTTGCGCCTCGCCTTGGCCCGCCCATTGACTTGGTCGTACATTTTCAGCTTCAATATGCAGAGCTTCGTCACCAAACCCTTTACTGGAGGTGCGGACAAACCTGAAAGCTACGGAAACCTGATCTGCACCAATCGCGTTGCTGAGCAACGTGTCGGACCTACCCGTCAACCTTACCTTGACCAGTGTCTTGCCTGGCGCCTCGACACGAAACTTTACATTACTGTACAACCTTCGAAGATAAATAGCCATCATTCTGCATCTTCATCCATCATCAAGCAAATCACCTCCTTGTTCAACCACAGTTTTCTGAATCGAAGTCCATCCATCATAATCAGCTAGAGCACTCCGTCACTCCTCTCTCTCTCCCACAGCGATGGCGATTACCAGGCTTTTTCTCGCGTGCATTATCCTCCTCGCAGCCACTTCCGCCTCCGCGCAGCGTGGTCCGCCTGGCGGAAGCCGTCCTGGCGGCGCGCGCGGAGGCCCCGGTGGGTCCAGTGGGCCCGGCAGCGCACCCGGCGGACCTGGCGGGTCCGCAGGGGTGCCAGGCGGGGAGCCGCGCGGTCCTCCGCTTAACCTGACGGTCGTCGGGAATCTGACTGCCGACGTTGGCGCGCGACTGGCCAACTGCTCCGCGGACCAGGAGGTCCTTGACGGTCGTTTTCACCTCGCCATTTTCAAGTAAGCAATCTGTCCAACGCTGAATACCTTACTAAAGTGACAATTTCATTTCTTTACCCGCTCTCCGGGAATACGTTCGTTGTTCCCCTCCCTTCCCTTCCCGTCATTCGCTCATTTCCTAACTCCTCCCACACTTTTCTCTTCCTTCGCTCTCAGAAACTCCACCGGGAACTACAACCTCGTCGTCGACGCTCTCCTAATCGGCGCCGCCGGCGGTCCCCCCGACTCGCTCGCGATCGTGAAGGGCGCCGTTTGCGACTCCTCCGCTTCCGCCGCTCTGGCGCTGCCCGTCTCCGCGTCCGACTGGCAGCAGCGCGCGGGATGGTGGCTGCTGCACGCGGAAGCGCGCCTCGACGCGTTCCTCGAGAACGCGGACTCCGCCACCGTCGAGGCGCTCCTCGCCGTCGTCCCGAACGTGACGCTTCCGCAAGGCGGCCGGCGCGGTGGCGGCGGAAGCGGCGTGGGGAGCGCGGGGAAAGGGCAGGGCAGCAGGCGCATGGGGCTGGGGGTGGGCAGGCTGCTGCTGCGCGCGCTGGCCCCCTTCAAGCAGGGGGTGCAGCCGCAGGGGGGACAGCAGCAGCCGCCGTCTGCAGGTGCTGGGGCGAGCGGCGGAGTGAACAGCACAGTGACCGGATACGCCGTGCTGGCTGGAAGCAGCGCGTCGGGAGTGACCTGGGGTGGGCAGCTGATGGGGGTGAAATTTCCCGCCGCTCCTTCTACCGCTTGATCGCCCCGAAATCATGAGAATCCACTCAGACAATTCCTTAATCTCGCGCCTGGAAGCAGTAGCCTGTTCCTATCTGAGTTCTTTCCGAGTCGTTTCTTGGGATGATGCGACATGCGGAGGGGATGCGAGTAGGTGACCTTTTGTTCTGTTGAGTTTCGGTGTGGGTATTAGTAGAAGGCTTTCGAGATCAGGGGTAGGAATGCTGGCAAGCTACGGTATGGCGTGCCTTGCCAGTTTTCCCACCCTTGAGTGATGTACGCACGGGTGATTAGGTGTTAGCTTTCACCGATTACGTATCCATTGAGCTTCTTCTACCCATGTTGTGCTTCTTACGCTAATTCCTCTTACGCATGTTTTGCCCTTACTCAAATTCGTTTTGCGCAAAGACGAATTAGCGGTTACGACATCGTGTTGACTCTTGAGTTGACTCAAAAAGTCAACAAAGACGAATTAGCGGTTACAACGTCGTGTGGCACCTGATAGGCGAACATCCGTCGTTTCGAAAGAGAGCACTACTACATTGGAGCATCCGTCGTGGGACTACTTTGGAAGGGGAACAATGATGGGTTTTACGGCGCTGGTAAAGGCATACAGACTTGGGGCCTGGACCTGGAACATCCTGAAACCTCACAGGCTGTAATGCGGGAAGCGGGTAGTTCGAGAAGGCCGGTCACGCTGGCAAGCTGGCACGAACAAATAATGCTGCTACGGTAGTCGCCATGGTCCAAGAATGATACGGAACGAGGTAAGACGACCTAACTGGCTGGTTCACGTACTCCTGCTGACTACGACGCGACGCGATCTATGCATGTCGACCGCGATCCGCGACCACCAGGTAGCTAAGTCGCAATCAAGCCAGATAGGTCGCAGCAGTCACAGGCAGAGTTCTGCCAACTTGGGTCGTCTAGTAATAACTTGCTGTCCAGTTCAGCACAGGATGTAGTGAGTGGTTATGTCGCTGCCTAGAGCTAATAACTGGAGCAGACAGTGCGCGATAGATACGAGGAGGTGAGGGGGCAGGAGGAGGTGAGTAGGGGGGAGAGGGAAAAGGCGAGGGGGAAGATGAATCTACCTCTTGTACACCTCTCTCCCCACCCTATCATCTCAACCGTCTCTGTTCACATTGTTCAATCCGTTCGTGCCATGTGGCCTCCCTGTTGAGCGGAAAGAATCCAGGCAAAAAGCTCGTACTGAATAGTTTCATTATTAAAGATATCCAAAACTGGAAATCCTGCTGCTACACCCTATGATACAACCTTGTTTGCATAGAGATAGTTCAACTTCAGAATCTTGAATGCATAACCAGTCCTCTCTCTCAGGCCTTCCAAACTGCATGAAGCACTTCTGCCATCCATGCATGCTTGGTTCTAATTCAGTGTACAAAAACATATTCACGAAACTGCACTGCATGAGCACGTTAAAATACCGGTGGTCAATTCTTAGACCGAAAGATAGCCAGCAGACGAGCAGCCTGGAAGAAGTTGCAGCAGAACAGGGGGGAGGGGCGGTGGAGTGGGTAATGGGGAGAGAATCGGGGGAGAAATTGTTTGGTTTCATTGGAAAACTCAGTGAACGAGAGCGTAGCGAACTTGCACAGTGAATGGGATGGGTGGAGTGGGGACACCCACCCATAAGGGGCAGAGGGTGCAGAGACTGGTATCATCTCTGGGGGAGGGGTGAGGAAACAGCTAGAACATGGTGACTAACTGACTTAGACAGCTGTCAACGTGCTCCCAGTGCTCGTGTGTGCCAGAATACAGCTCTCATATAGGCCCGTGTGTTGAGAAACCGGAACCATTACATTCTAGGCAAACACCAAGAAGTGCGCTTGAGAGCTGGAAACTGGCCCTTTCACTCCCTCCTTTGACCAACTAGATGTTACCCCCATCTGCTGATCTGTCACGGATCACCATTCCCACCTTGGTGTTACAGCCATCATCAACCCTCCCCTCAGAAAATCATAACAACCTACAGCACAGAATTCACCCCACCACCATTAGCTTTTTCTTTTTTCGCTCTTAATCCATTCCGCACCCTCCTACGCCATCCCATCCCACATACACTCAGACCGCCCATTCCAATATATTGGCGCTGCTCTGTGAACAGCTGATCTTACGGGCAAACAGAAAAAGAAGGTGTCACCCCTTCACACGGAAACATTTCGCTCAGAGATGTAGACATTCATTTGCGTAAGGACACGATATATGTTATCTAGCTTGATCAGGAATCTGTGCTTGTAGTGCGGATCATGCTCACCTTGACGCGCGAGCGCGACGTGCCGGACTGCTGCAGCGCAACCAGCGTGGGCATCACCCCCTCCTCGAGAATCTCGTCCCGCCGGCTCTCGTCTTCCGCCAGCATCAGCAGCGCCGCCACCGCGTCCTCCTTTCCGCGCGCGGATCCACTTTCTAGCGCTTCAACCAGCGGCGGAATTCCCCCCGCCACCTGAATCGCTGCGCAACCCGCCGGCGATTTCGCGATATTCACGAGAACCGCCGTTGCTTTTTCCTCCAATCCCGAGCCGTATTCTTGTAACATGGCCAGTAACTTTGGAACTACACCCGCGGACATTAGCGAAGCACGGTTCTTTTCCGATAGCGATAAGTTGAACAAAGCCAAAGCCGCGTCTTTTCGCCCACGAAGCGACCACGGCTGCGGCGAAAGCATCGCCGTCAGCCCTGCGATGGCTCCCGGCGTCGATCCAACGAGTAACTTATTCGCATCCGACGAAGACGTTATCGCGAACAGCGCAGCTGCTGCGTTCTCCTGCGCCTGCTGAGAAACCGCCAAATTTACTCCAAATTCGTCTCCGCCCGCCGCGCCTGCTGTAATCAAGTTCCCCCCCAACTGCTGGTTCCTCGCTCTGGACGTCGCGACGCTCGGCGACGAGACCGGCGACGTGCAGCACGACGCGGCGGCGCCACCGGAGAGCACCGCGACGAGCGCGGGAACGACGCCTTGGCCAATCAGCGGCGCGTGAGACGACGACGTCAACGAGAGATTAAGAGTCGCCGTGACCGCGTGCTCCACGGTCGCCTCGTCCGGGCTCCAGAAGAGATTAATCAGCGCGGAAAGCACGCCTCCGCCCGCCGCGACGACGCTCTCGCGGTTCGCGCGCGAGTCCTTCACCATCATTCGCAGCTCCTCCGCCGCCTCGCGCTGCCGCTCGCGCACCAGCAGCTCCTCCCCATCGCCCGATACCCCCCGCCCCCCGCCCACGCCCTGCATTTGGCGCACGAGCTCCGGGATGCGCAACCGCGCGTGTTCCTCCTCTTCCGTCCGCACCATCCCCGCTCTGCTTCCGCCCGTCGCACGCTCCTTCTGGCTCTGACTCCGCGCGGCAGCGAGGTTTCCGCCGCGAGTCAGCGCGCGCTCGCCCGCGCCGACCTCGCCCGGGGCGCCCTCGCGCTCCGGCGGCGCGGTGCCATGCTGCCGGCCTAGGAGTAACGACCGGCTGCTGGAGCTCGAGTCGCAGGTGGAGGAGCGCGCGAACGTGAGGTACATATCCCGCGAAGAGAACCGGCTAACCGTCGGGCTGCCGGACGCGTTAGTGACGTAGACGGACGCGACGGGGTGGTTTGGCGTCATGTACGCTAGAGCGGGATTCAATCCAGGTTGATGATGGCGGTTCGATTCATCCCCGTCGTGATCCCAGGAGATTAGAGAATGCGACTGCGGCGACCGCGTCGCGTGCTCGGGATAATCGTAGCGCATGGACTGCGAGCCTATTGAATGTCGCATGCGACTCGCCCGTCCGCCACCGCCGCCACTTTCTCTCTCCTGCGACGCCGGAGAGCCGGCGCCGTGACCGCGCGACACTTCCGCCTGCGACGCCATGGCGGCCTGCGACGCCATGCCGGCTTGCATCGCGAACTCGACCGACTGCGGCCCAGACCATTCGTCGCGTCGCGGCTGCGGGCCGCTCCACTCGTCCCTACCGGGATACTTATTCCAGTCGCGCCGCATAACGGGACTGCCGGTGCTCTTAGCAGGCGTGTAACCGGGGGATGCGGAGGGGGATTGCGAAGATACCGAAGCCGACACGGGCCATATAGGGCAGCGGGGCGACGCGGACGGGCTCTGCTCGAACGAACCGGTGGATTGTCGGCGCGCGTCGCGGCTGGCATTACTCGAGAGGGATCTCACAGGAGACGACGAGGACGGGCCGACGCGGAGCGCGGCTCGGCGATCTGGCTCGGCAGGCTGGAGTGTGCTAGGGTTGGTACGCTCGTCGGTGCCGAGCCTGATGCCGTTGCCGAGGCACCACGCGGAGATGACGCTACGGAGGGAGTTGTTGGGCACGACGGTGAAATTTTCGAGGTGCTGCCCGGTGACCGGGCACACACGCTTCCCCTCGCCGAACCACCGCTCGATCTCCGCGCGCTCGAACGTTTGACCGGATGCGATTATAACGGGGTCGGTCATTATGTCGAGGGACAGCGGGCAGAAAAAATCGCCCGGGACTGAGATTCTTTGCGCGCGAAGGTAGGAAAGCGGGTAGCGGCGGAAGGAGGGCGGGAACGCGTCGGAGTCTGTGGCTTGCTGGAGGAGCGACACGAGCTGTTGCTGAGTCAGCATGCCGCGAAGATGATGGTAATTGGTTGGCGGAGTGGAGGAGGGAGGCGGGGAAGGTGCTGATGGGTGCGGCGGGTGTGCGGAGTGGTAATTTCTAGTAAGCGGGTTCCCGCTGTGTGCGCTTGCAGGGTTCACCTGTGGCGAAGCCATGAATGGGCGAGAAATGGAATACTGTAATATGATCAAACTTGGTCTAAGAAACGCCTACGCTGCGAGTTGTGGTAGTGATTTTGCGCATCCTCCCTTGCTTCCATTGATGGCTGGTACACGCACGCTAGGGCAACTAGATAAGTATCCTAGCTAGTGATGGGATGAGGAGGATCAAGAAATGCTTTGGGGGGGAGGGAGTTGATTGTGGGTGTAGGTGATGCTTGTGAAGAACCTTCATCAGCAGCCAAAAACCATCAACCGTTCAGCTCAGCTCTACCCTTTGGTTCGTTCCACCCACCACCACACATCCTTCCTTTCACCATGGCTGGCTGTACAGTACTACGCCGACGAGTCAACGCGGGGTTTGCGTTCGGAAGCGAGTGCGACGAACGAACGAACGAATGAGCCATCCAGAGCAGACCATATCGACCACACTGCTCCAGGAAACCAACAGCAGATGCTGCAGGGCGCGAGCGAGTTGTTGTTGTGAGCATTTCAAGACTGACGACACGAGCAGTCCTCCCCTCTCGTTTTTATCACTGCGCGTCACCCAGCCCAGACTGGGAGTCAAGCGAAATAATCTGGGTCATGCACAGTGTGGAACTGTATTCATCTCATCATTACTGGAGAGGTTTCTCACGGAAGCAGCATCGCAACCCACACAATCTATAGGCGACAAGGAGTTCCCTTAAAATTTAACTAAGTTTTTGCTCTTTGTTCCATCTGCATCTGAACACTTCGAATGTATCTCTGGTCAGGTGGATACTTCTCACAAACGAAATCGAAGGCTGGGCATCATGTACACAGACGTCGCCGGCCAAACCAGGCTGCCCTCCTTGTCGGTCAAGAACGACAAGGTGGTTGTAGGGTGATTCAGAACAGCGATTCGATGCGAAGATTTCTCTGAGACTTTCCCGTCCTGACCGTGGGGTAGGGGTTGTTGCTCTTGGGCTGCCGTAGAAATTTTGAACAATGCCCAAAATACTGTACCGGTCATCCATCTGTTACTGCGATTATCCCCATAATCTATGACAACCATCCGCTACCGCAATTCAACTTGCTTTCACGAGCTTTTGGCTTGCAACCGTTTACATGAAGGAAGCGGCGGGCAGGGGATGGGGTGAGAAGAAACAAAAAGAGTTGAGGGGTTAGGACGCGAAATACGCGTTCTGTGCGTTTCTGCGCGACGAAACATAATGCAGATTGTGAGCACACACTGGAAATTGAGCCGACTACGGACAAAATATAACAGCAAATTAACCCAGGAAATAGAGCGCTTCGTTTATCGAACCAACTAGTAAGAATACTCATACTACCTTATTAACCACCTAACTGAACAATATTTATTTTTTAGCATCACACATGTCATTACATTACATTGGCAACAGAAACTTTCACAAACACCACACCCCACCCCAGCAACCATACCGCAGCTTAGGGTACATTCCTGTGTGGACATTTGTGTCTCAAACGGTTTGTGACACCCAAAAACAGCATATAACGTACAATGTCAGAAACGTGGACCGCACTAGTGCGACTTTTACCGTATTTATAATTGGACAGCGTGAAATGCGGTAATATTGCGGACGAGTTGTATGAGGCCCCGTCACACATAGAACATCGCACGCGTGTCGAAATGTCGAACTTCACCGCATGCATCTGGACGCGCGAGGACGTGACAATTTCGGGCGGGAAAAACACCCGCCCTGCCCGTGTATCGAATCGAGTGGTTTCCACGACAGCAGGCAACGCCATCCTGCCCGCCAACCGAACCCCAGCTTCCGCGCCCGTCCAAGAGCTCACCCACAGCAATCTCTTTTCCGTCTCCTGTCCAGATCTACTCTCACCTATTCCCTCCCGTATCTCGTGAACTTCTCTCTCTAGCAGCCATGGCTAGGAAGCGCAAGACAACGGCTGACGCAGCTACCGACGTCCCGCGGGACCTCAATGAGATCCCGTACATCGCATGGATCAACCAGCAGATTGCGGCGGGGCGCAAGCCCGGCGGCTCGCTGCCTGAAGGATTACCGTCTCCTGGAGCCACCTCGTTCGAAGCGCCGCGTGACGTGCCCACGCGCGGGCGTCTGGACTCAGACAGGGTTGCGTCCTCGCGCGTCGTCGACAACAACGCTCCGAACAACGACGACGATGACGACAGCGACTACAACGAGTACGCCGTCGGCACCGACGACGAGGCGGACTCAGGGGAGGAGCCGGACAAGGGAATGTCCGACTCAGAGGACGACGGCGAGGGCGACGAGTCCGAGGATGATGCTGAGGCACCGGAAGAAACTCAGCCCGCAGCTCCGACCACGCGTGCCGGCCGTGCTAAGCCCGCGGCCCCTGTTACCACCGCCTCTAAGGGTGGCGAACCTCCACGCCGCGGTCCAAAGACCCGCAACCAGGTGCCTGTGAAGCGCAGCGTCTGGTCCCCCCTGTAGAGCACCATTTTCGTCGCGGCCCGCTGGTTCATGAAGGACGAACTAGAGTCCCTGCTCGGGAAGCAGGGCTCCCAGTATTGGGCGCGCCTTGTTCATCACCTGGAGAAGGAGAACCGGGGGTGGGTTCGTGGCGTCGACGCTGTCCAGAAACAGTGGCGCAACCTCGTCCAGTTCTACAAGCAGCTCAAGAAGGCAGAAAAGGCGTCGGGCAAGGGCACCGTTTGCAAGCCCCCGTGGTTCCCGTACATGGAGCTGTACCTGAACAATAGGGCCGTCACCAACCCGCATGCCGTGGCAGCTGGAGGCGCGACGAACGTCAACGCGCCGTGCGGCTTCACGGTGCCTTCTACGTCGGCGCCCACCACGTCTACACCGACCTTCACGGGTCGGTGAACTGTGGTATTTGGCCTCATATCCTGTTGTGAGCAGTGACATTGGTTTAATGTCTGCACTTTTACATCTGACATTGCATACCGTGTCGTACACACATGCATCCTAACCAACCACCCCTGTCATGCCTTGGGTGTTCAGCCCCTCCTCCGCAGTGCACCCCGCCTTCCAAGCGCCCGCGCGTAGCGGAGACGGCCACCATGGCGGCCGCGAAGCTCGTCTGTGAGACGATCAAGGGCTGCCACGATGACGCGATGTGCAAGCTCGAAGGACTTGTCCGCGCATGGATGCAGCAGGACGAGCGAATTGCACGCGAACGCCTCCAGCAGTCCGCGCCTGCTCCGCCTGCCCGCAACGGCGTGGCCGCAGACGCTCCCCCCCAGACGACCCCGACTGCCACCGATGGCGGCGACGACGGATGGTTCCGTCGCGGGCAGACGGGCGACACTCAGGCTAACCCGGATGAGGCCGAGGAAGTGTGGGTTCGCGGCGACGCCGAGTAAGGTAAGACGACTCCAACGCCTCCCCCAGCCGCTTGCGCCTCTCCTTGAGTGTTGCTTGTGTGAGTGGGACACATGGCTCCCACTTGAATTCGGCCACCGCGCCTCTTGTCCACCATGGGTCTCGGTTCCATGGCAGTGTGGCCCAAACCTCGTTGACATGCCTCACCTCTCCCATTGTTTCGCACATGTTGTGCAAGATCACGCAGCAAGACGCACCCGCCAGCACGCGCCAAAGCTGGCAGTCGTTGCGTCCCGCGAATAGACGCCATCTGCCCTTGAAGGCACCGATGCAGCGCTCTACTGCCATGCGCGTTGCGCTTTGGCAGTAGTTGAAGCACTACGCCCAGTCTTCCATTAGGCCCTCACGGGGTGCATGTAGGGGGGTCAGGCAGAAATCTCTGAGTGGGTAGGCTGCATCTCCCACGACTTGATAAGGCGCTATGTCGCCGTTGTGCAACCTCTCTTGTAATGCACTGTTCATGAACACCCGTTGGTCGTGTGCACTTCCCGGGTACCCAATCAGGTAATCCCAAATGATTCCACGCGCATCGCATGTGAGCTGCAGTTGGACGGCGTATGCCGACTTCCTCGTATAGTACTCCTGCCTGTGCCCTTCCATCCCTTTGATGTGGATGTGTGTCCCATCTATAGCCCCCACCACCGCAGGTACTCCCTTGACGGCTCGAAACTCCTCAGCCATCTCGGTAAGATCCTCTGAAGTTGGGAAGTGCACCCATTGCGGCTTGAAGACGCTCGGGAAATGCATCAGCCACACGTCGACGAGGGCGTGGCAGAGGGTTTTTGATAGTCCAAAGAAGTGCGCGAGGTCAACGTACGCCATACCACTTGCCAGGTACTTTATTGCGACCAAGTTGGCTATGTCGTGCGTGATGAAGTGGCGCTCGACGTAGGGCAGCATGTAGTATGACATTCCGGCGACAATGTATGCTAGAATGGCACGGTTGATTCTGAATAGATCCCTAAACTCCGTGTCTCCCATGCCCTGCAGGTCTTCGCCCAGTAGTATGTATCTCTGCCGACGCAGGCGTGCCCTCCTCGTACGCTCGGCCGTCCTGTTGGAGGCGTGTGTCAGAATCCCAGTCACTAACCACTGGGATAAAAGGGCTTGTTTGTGTAGCAGGTGAGTGCGCCCATAACCCCCCAGGCCAACGTGCCTGTAACCCTTCCCTAGGATCAATCGGGGATCTCCAGTGGACCTCTGACACCCCCCCGCACTGGGATGCCCGAGGTGCATACACCGGGATTCGAACCCGAGACCTTCGCTCTGATACCATGTCAGAATCCCAGCCACTAACTGTCAAGATGCTAGGCAAGAATGATGTGCATTGAAAAGGAACAAGAGTACAAGTACCTAACCCTAATGGGTTGTACCCTATATTGTCTACCCCACTACAGCCTACTAACACATTGCATATAATCTAACACACCCCCATAGGCAAAGTGGGGGAGAACAAGGGGTCATAAGACCAGTCAAAGCAAAGCAAGCTCAAGGTGGATCACAACGTCACCACACTCTGAACACAAGCAAAGGCCACAAGGCCAGTTCACATGCAGAGCTATATAGGTATATATAGACCAAGACAAGCAACACAGTGATCACAATCTAGCAAGCAAGCAGCGATATATATAAATCACAGTACAAAGAAAGTCAAGCAGTAAGCAAATGAGGTAATGTGGACACAAGGCCTAACGCAGTACAGTGCCGCTGATGATCACTAGGCGGAAGCGCCTTGGTGAAGACATCAGCAGTGTTGGCCTTCGAGTCCACGTACACAAGACGAAGCTGACCACGCTGCTGCAGCTCTCGAGCAAGAAAGTAGCGAAGAGCAATGTGCTTCGTTCTGTGCTCCAGTCTGTGCTCCTGACACAAGGCAAGGGCCGCCTTGTTGTCTCCGTACAGAACTGGAGGAGAACTAGGCCGCTCTCCCAAGTCAGTCAGCAGGTAGGTGAGCCAGCGTAACTCCTGTGCAGCCATGGCCGTGGCGTAGATCTCAGCCTCACAACTAGAGCTGAGAACAGAAGAAGAGCGGGTGGACCGCCAAGAGACAGAACCAAAGCCAAGGCTGAAAGTGTAACCCTGTGACGACCGCTGTGTAGCCAGGTCGTCCACCCAAGAAGCGTCTGAGTGACCAGTGAGGGCAACTCTGTCGCGTCCTCCAAGCACCAGCCCCATGCCTGATGTACTGCACAAGTAGCGCAGCACCCTCTTAGCAGCCTCCCAGTGCTCTCGCCTGTGTCTCCCAGGCGCAACGTAACGAGCAAGGATGCTAAGAGGGTACGCAAGGTCAGGTCGCGTGCAAGTCATCAAGTACATGAGGCAGCCTACAAGCTCTGGGTACGGGCCACTCGGCTCTACGGACTCGTCCGAAGGTGGAGCTGAGAGCGAGTGACTGGTAGCCAGAGGTGTGGCCTGTGGTGAGGAGAACTGGAAGCCGAAGCGCTGAAGGACCTGCTGCACCATGTGTGACTGAGTCAGGGTGATGGTGCGGCGTGCTCTGTCCCGGGTGATCTGCAGGCCAAGGTAGCTGCGCAGCTCACCCAAGTCAGTGCAGGTATGTCTCTTCTGCAGCTCCGACTTCACACGAGCGAGTGCCTCAGTGTCAGCAGTAGCAAAGACCAAGTCGTCGACGTACACGAGGATGTAAAACGGCGGCAGCGACGTGTCTGTGCGCAGGAACAGTGACGGGTCAGCAGTGGAAGGAGCAAACCCAAGGGCCGCAAGTGTAGTCCTCAGTGTGTCGTGCCACTCGCGCGGCGCCTGGCGGAGACCGTAGACTGGCCGGCGAAGGCTCCACTGGGTACCAGGAGGGAACGACCCAGTGAAGCCAGGAGGGCGGCGCAGCCAGATCTCCTCGTGCAGGGTGCCCTGCAAGAAAGCTGTGCTGAAGTCAAGAGAGTGCAGCTCGTAGTCACGCTGAGCAGCAACGTGCAGCAACACCCGAAGAGTGGTCATCTTCGGGGTGGGGGAGAAGGTCTGAAAGAAGTCAACTCCCTGTCGCTGACTGAAACCTCTAGCAACGTAACGAGCCTTGAAGATAGGCGGAGAACCCGGCGGCCGCTTCACCCTGAAAATCCACATGCCATCGACGATGTTCGCCCCTGGAGGGGGAACGTCGTCGACGTAGGTGCCTGTGGACTTCCAGGATGCCATCTCTGCGTCCATGGCTGTCTGCCACTGAGAGGAGTAGGGACCCGAGATCGCCTCTGCGTAAGAGCGCGGAGTGGGGATGTCTAGTGCATCCGGGTCTCCCTCAGGGGCAAGCAGCCAGGCCACGAGATGAGGTACAGCAGCCGCAAGAGAGTCAAAGTCCTCCTGCCTGTCCTCAAGGACGTCCGTGCCAAGAGCACACTCACCCCCGACGGACGGAGGACAGACAGACTCAGACTCAGTAACAAGACTGGCAGTGTAGTCTAGACGACAGACAGCAGCAAAGTCAACCAGCTCAGCGACCAAGGCAGACGCAGCAGCCGACTCAAAAGACGGGTCAGTGACAGCAGTGGCTAAGGGACGCATGACGGTAGGGTGCTCAGCACGAAAACGGTCAGACGCAGGGTCCGGAACGTCAGGCAAAGAAGACGCAGGAGGAGACGGCAGAGGAACCGACTGTGGTACAGAGGAGGGACGACGGACGACAAGGCGAGAACCTGTAACAGTCGGCGAACGCTGGTGCGAGACGCGGCGAGCGGAACGACCAGAACGAACAGGCGAGACAGGACGCGACGCAGGCTCACGACGCTCAGTAAGACCCCCTGACTGCTCAGTGTAAGGAGAAGGAGCAGGCAAGGGCGAGCCAGGCAGTAACGGAAGACCAGTAGAAGACGGAAGACTAAGAACCTGGCGAAGGACAGAGTCAGACGGCGGCAGAGACGACGGCGACGGCGGAGCGAAGAACAGGCGCGACTGTACAGTACCGCCAGCACCAGCAGCTCCAGCACCTCCAGCGACACCACCACCCCCAGTGTCAGCTCCTCCAGGACTGTCCCCACTAGCAGCAGCACCCCCAGAACCAGTACCTCCAGTCCCAGGGTCTCCAGTCGCAGCGTCCCCAGCGGTAGCACCCTCAGACACAGCACCACCAGCCCCAGCAGCTCGAGTACCAGCGGTACGAGCACCTCCGGGACCAGCGACGGGAGTACCTCCAGGAGACAACGAACCAGCACCACTCTCAGCTCCAGGGGCGGCAGTAGAGGCACCACCAGCAGTAGAGCCCGGAGCTCCAGGAGGGCGACGCTGACGGCGACCGAACCAGTCGTGCAGCTGCTGGGAGGTGAGAGGAACACGCGAACGAAGGCGGCCAGTCCAGGGCGCAGCCTCCACTGGCGACGCACCCCCAGACTCAGCACCCCCAGACGCAGCACACCCAGACCCCTCAAGCACAGGCTCAGCTCCCTCAGACGGAGCACCGCGACAACGAGCAGAACCAGCTCCTCCAGTACCTCCAGCTCCAGTGTCTCCAGCTCCAGTGGCACCAGGCTCAGGACCTCCAGAACAACCAGCTCCGGCAGCCGCAGTACCTCCAGGACTAGCACCCCCAGAACCAGCAGCTGCAGCACCGCCAGAACCTCCAGCACCAGTGTCCCCAGTCTCAGCGCCTCCAGCTCCAGCTGCACCACGCGGAAGGCGAAAGCGCCGGACGTACCACTCACGGAGCTGCCGCTGTGTGAGAGGCTCCCGGAGAGGCGACTCAACACCCTGAGCACCCCCAGACGCAGCAACTCGAGGCACAGCACCCCCAGGCCCCGCACCCACGGTCCCAGCACCCCCAGGCTCCGCACCCTCAGGCTCAGCACCCCCAGGCTCCTCACCCCCAGGCTCAGCACCCCCAGGCTCAGCACCCCTAGTTGCACCACCCGCAGCAGCACCTGAGTCACCTGTGACCTCGACAGGCTCAGCGACGGGAGGAGGGTCTACCTGAGAGACACCTGAAGGAGCAGGACCCTGAGGGGGAATCGACCGGAGGGGGACCAGGAGCAAGGAAAAGCGGCGGGGGAGGGAGGGGGGCAGTGCGGTAGGGGAAGAGACGGTAAAAAGGGACCGACTCGTCAAAGGTGACATCCTGAGAGGCGAAGACCCGGCGCGAGGTGGGGTGGTAAAACTGCCAGCTAGGCGCGTCAGGAACAAAGCCAAGGAAGACACAGGGAAGTGTGCGGGAGGAGAGCTTGTCCGCGGAAGTATCGCGGACAAGGGCACGAGAACCCCACACCCGGAAGCGCGACGCATCGCCGACCTCCCCCGTCCAACGCAGTGTGGGCGAGGTCTCCGGCAAGGAGACACGGGGCCAGAGGTTGAGCTCATGCGCCGCATGAACCAAGGAGGTACGAGCGACCTCCATGACCAGGCCAATGCGGCGCTCTGCAACCCCATTCTGCTGCGGGGAGTCCGGAAGCGTGAAGGACTGCTCGATGCCCTCCGCCTGACAGAAGGCCCTCAAGAGGTCAGAGGAGAACTCACCACCTCTGTCAGAGTGCAGACGCAGGACAGGAAGCTCTGTCCTGAACCGGCGGCGGAGCTGGAGACGAACTGTGCGGATCCAAGGGATCAGAACAGCAGGGACCTCACCCTTGGTGCGCAAGGGGAAGACCGTGGTGTAACGCGAGTAGTCGTCGACAACCAGCAGAAAGTACCGCTCACCGCCCTGTCCACGGACGCGGGCCGGGCCCCACACGTCCAGGTGGAGGGTCTGCAGAGGAGCCTCGGTTGGGGGAAACGAGGAGGAGTGAGGAGCGGCGCGCTGCCGCCCCTCGACGCAAGGAAGGCAAGGCGGCGCAGGCGAGGCAGGGAGGGGAGGGAGAGACCGGGGAAGACCGGACACAAGGTGACGACGGTGCATGCCACGAAGGCGCTGCAAGGAGGGGTGACCCAGGCGGTGGTGCCAGAGAAGGGTCTGGTGCGACAGGGAGCGACACTCACAGGGGTGGGCTACTAGACCTGACGCAGACACCTGACCAACAGCAGCGACCTGAGGAGACACAGTGGTCAGTGTGTAGAGACTCGACCCCGGCTGACGAGTGAACGTAGCCAGGTGACGGCCAGTCCTGGAGCACGTACAGATCGCCACACGCTGTCCTCCAGGGGTGAAGGTGTCAACCCAGTGATCCTGGATAACAGCGTTGCTCACCAAGTTCGTAGAGAACGAGGGGAGGTGGAAACCCGACAACGAGCCAGACGGAACCGCCGGACAGGGAAGCACAGTGGTAGACCGTGCAAGAACTGGACCCCCGGAGGGGTCAGCCAGGGAGACTGGAACTGGTGCAGGGAGGGGAGTGAGCTCAGTACTGTCACGAAAGAAATAGCGGGAAGCACCTGAGTCAAGCGTGAAGGTGTGCAAGGCCTCAGCGGGCGCAGTACCGGAGAGCGCAGACTCGCTAGCAGGAGGGGGTGTACCGAAGGGAGTAGCCTCGGAAGGCACAGTACCTGAGAGAGCAGACTCGCTGGTACCTAGGGCAGTGGGCTCTATACCTGGGTCAGGCGGCACACACAAGTAACAGTCCCCCTCAGCACTAACAGTCAATGCATACATGGCAGCAATAATAGCATCATAATCAAGAGCAAAGATATCAACACCAGCCCTCATCAGATCAGCCCAGCGGGGGCGCTCAACCTCCTCGCCCATCTCCTCACGCCAAGCGTCGTCAAGGCGGGAGAAGCAGCGGTACTGGGTGTGGAACCTCCCACACTTCTGCCCCTTGCGTTCACCTGTGCGAATGACATAGGAACAGCGACCACTGCCTCCCGACGTCCCACGCTGAGCAAGCCACTCACGGAGCTGCTGGGTCGTCTGAGGACGCTGCTGCTGCTGCGAGGACTGGCCCGAGCTGGGGCCCACACTCCGACCACCACCGCCGCCACTACCGCCGCTCCGACCGCCACCGCCGCCGCCGCCACCGCCGCCACCGCCACCACTGCCACCACCGCTGCCACCGCCGCCACCGCTGCCACCACTCCCGCCGCCGCCCCCGCCCCCACCGCTGCCTCCACCCCCACCAGCACTCCCGCCACCGCTCCCTCCGGTACCGCCTCCCCCCCCACCTCCCCCACCTCCTCCCCCCCCAGCGCCACCACCACCACCCTTGCCCCCCTTGCCCTTGCCGGTGCGGCGCCTCCCACCAGGAGCAGAAGCAGCGCCAGCAGACTCAGCACCAAGGAGGTCAACAGCAGCAGCAGTAGCGTAGGAGGGAGCGAGGGGAGAGGGAGAACACCCCTCAAAGATGGGGGTGCGAGGAGCGCCACGAGCAGCACCTACAGCGACAATGCTCTTCTCGGCTGCTAGCAGCTTCTCCTCTAGGAGGGCGACTGTGAGCTCAGTGGGACAGCGGGCAAGGAAGTAGTCTCGGACTGAGCTGAGGGTGTCAGGGAGACGGGTGACTATGAAATGGAGCGTCCAGTACAGTGGAGGGGGGTTCTTAGCGCAGAACTCGGTGGGAAGGGCGGCACGCAGGCGAGCGTCACTAGTGCGAAGGTGGGTGATGAGATCGGCGACTGTAGCAAAGGTGGACAGCTCAGGGAACAGGTAAGGCAGCATGAGGCGGCTAAGCTCGGCTGTGGCAGGTGAGGAGTAGCGAGCAACGACAGCGTCGTAAAGGGCCTTAGCGGTTTTGCAGTCGCCAAAGTGCTCTAGCTCAGCGAACGGCAGGTGACTGCGGATAGCAAGGCGAGCTGCAGCGTCACGAGTCTGCCACTGGGAACGTACACTAAGCTCGGCTGTGGCAGCAGGAGCAGCGGCAGCACCAGACGCGTAGTCATAGAGGGAGACACTGTCCGTGCTATTGCTCATAAGATACAACTGCAGGTCGTCGAGCCAGGAAGTGAACTGCACGGGACGGCCCTCAGCATCGAAGGAAAGAACGCGAATAGAGGCCATAGCTCAGGCGTGAGGGCACAGCAGAGCAGCGGCAGCAGCAGAGGGGACGCGCTAGAGCGAAGCTAGCAGCCGCAGCAGGAGCAAGCGGCGGTGCACGGGCAGGGAGCAGCAGGCGAGGCGGGCAGCGTAGCGGGCAGCGCGGCGGGCAGCGCGGCGGGCAGCGCGGCGGGCAGCGCGGCGGGCAGCGCGGCGGGCAGCGCGGCTGGCGGGCAGCGCGGCGTGCAGCTCGACGGGCAGGCAGCGCGGCGGGCGGGCAGCGCAGGGGGCTGCGCGACGGGCGGGCGACTCGGCAGGCAGCGCGACGGGCGGGCAGCGCGGGCGCACGAGGGCGCTAACGAGGGGCGCACGAGGGCGCGAACTAGGGAGACGGGCGGGCAGCCGAGCGGGCAGCACGGCGGGCAGCGCGGCGGACAGCGGGGCGGGCAGCGAGCGTAGCGGGCTGCGCGACGGGCGGGCGACGCGGTAGGCAGCGCGACAGCGGGCTACGCGGCGAGCGGGCAGCGCGGCGGGCAGCGCGGCGGGCAGCGCGGCGGGCAGCGCGGCGGGCAGCGCGGGCAGCGCGACGGGCAGCGAGACGGGCAGCGCGGCGGGCAGCGCGGCGGGCAGCGCGGCGGGCAGCGCGGCGGGCAGCTAGGGCGCACGAGGGCGCTAACGAGGGCGCGCGAGGGCGCTAACGAGGGGCGCGCGAGGGCGCAGCGAGGGCGCGCGAGGGCGCTAACGAGAGGCGCACGAGGGCGCTAACGAGGGCGCACGAGGGCGCAGCTAGGGCGCAACGAGGGCGCATCGAGGGTAGGGCGCGGGGTAGCGTGGTAACCGCATGCGTGCGACGGTGGGCCCTAAAAAAAAGGTCGGTAGGTCCTAGGGACCTCCTGCTCTGAAACCATGTCAAGATGCTAGGCAAGAATGATGTGCATTGAAAAGGAACAAGAGTACAAGTAACTAACCCTAATGGGTTGTACCCTATATTGTCTACCCCACTACAGCCTACTAACACATTGCATATAATCTAACACTAACCACTGGGATAAAAGGGCTTGTTTGTGTAGCGGGTGAGTGCACCCATAACCCCCCAGGCCGACGTGCCTGTAACCCTTCCCTAGGATCAATCGGGGATCTCCAGTGGACCTCTGACAGTGAGCTCTCGGCCGTTGAGTCTTCGCTGTCGAAGACATCGCCTTCAAGCATGCCGCTGACAGCACGCCCTACTACGTCCATGAAGATGGTTTAGTAGAATGTGATCCAGGCCACCAGGAGCCGCATGAGAAATGGCACAGCTCGCGGCTCAGCCATGACTGCACCCCTAGCAAGGGATGCAGCGTGCAGGGGATGTGATAGCTAGGAAATGGGTTCATGCGATCGTACGTTGTAGATTTGTACGTGCTGTTGTGTTGCTTCTTTCTGCGTAGCACCAGGGGCGGAAGTGTGTTGCCCCCCCAGAATTTGTTTACAGTCGTGCCCGGCGCCAAACTTCCGAACCTCTGGCCCATTGGTGTGAGCCAGTCAAATTCGGCCACATGTACCCAGTTTTCTGTCGCACAATGTCGTGATACATCAGCTGTTTGTGACGCGTGAAGTTGTAAATTTACAGACGCGACTCGGGAAATGGGGCATTGAGACACAAATGTCCACACAGGAATGTACCCTTATTACAGACCAGGCCAGTCACTCGCAGACAGTGGCAGCCGTTGATCCCTGCAGCAGCTCCGACTGCAAGCACTGAGAGCGTGTTCCTACACCTCGTATCAGACACACCTCGTATCAACTTCGCGTGGTGAAATACGTTTCAGTGTGTTCGACTGCGCTTGGATGCGTTTTACAGAGGTTCGACGCAAATCTGATACAAGGTTGCCTGATACGAGGACATAGGAACACACTCTCATACATCATACAACAGAAAATATGCATCGTCCGTGTTACTCGAATAGTCCTGCGACGGACCAAAGTACGCAGTGCCCTACCCTGACACTTCCAAATCAAACCTCGCCGGCAGCAGAAACTGCTTCCACAGCAGCCCCAGCAATAGCACCGCCACCAGTTGCACCAGCACCCGCTCCCCCAGGAGAACCAGAGACAGAAGCAGCGGCAGCAGCAGCGGCAGCAGCAGCGGCAGCAGCAGCGGCAGCAGCAGCGGCAGCAGCAGCGGCAGCAGCAGCGGCAGCAGCAGCGGCAGCAGCAGCGGCAGCGGCTGTAGCAGCGATGGCACTTGCACCCAGTCCCTGCAGCAGCTCCAGCTGCAAGCACTGATACAACAGAAAACACCCATGGTCTGTGTTACTGGAGTACTGGTAGCCCTGCGACGAACCAACGTACGTCTGCACGAGCGACTCATCTATCGATCAGCTCTCATCCGCTGCTTCAGCAGCGGCAGCAGCAGCAATGGCACTGCCACTAACGGAAGCAGAGGCAGGAGCACTAGCCGCACTTGCAGCAGCACTAGCAGCAGTAGCACTAGCAGCAGCGTCTGCGCCTGGTCCCTGCAGCAACTCAGGCTGCAAGCACTGATAGAACAGAAAATACCCATGGTCCGTGCTACTCGAGTAATCCTGCGACGACCCGAAGTATGTCTGCACGAGCGACTCATCAATCTGCTCGACATTCTCATCATCGAAAAACAACCAGTGGCTGTGGCTCTTCACCAGCGCCACATAGTGCCCGTGATTCGGGCCGCTCCCCACGTGCACGATGACTGCGAAGAGGGAATATTCGGCCTCGGCGCCCGGCGCGTCGTCAACGGTGTTGCAGAGGCGCAGGTGGAGGGGGAAGACGACGCGGTAGGACAGCTTCTTGTAGCGCCCCAGCTGCTCCATGAACTTGAACCGCTTCAGATGCAGGGCTAGGACTCGGGGGGGAACTTTAATACGCATCCGCTTCTGTGCCTCCTGTAGGCTGGGGGAGCAGTGGGGGGGGAGGGAAGGGGGTGAGGGGTGAGCGGTGCAGAAGGGCTTCTTGTAGCGCCCCAGCTGCTCCATGAACTTGAAACGTTTGAGGTGCAGGGTCAGAACTCTTGGGGAAATCACTTCTGGGAATTCTCAAAAGTGAAACGTTTGAGGTGCAGGGCCAGAACTCTTGGGGGAACTTTAATACGCATCCGCTTCTGTGCCTCCTGTAGGCTGGCAGGGAGAGGGGGAAAGGGGGTGAGGGTTGAGCGAGGGCTGCCACCTGCTGCTGACATAATAACATCATGCCCACTTGCTGACATAATAACATCATGCCCACTTGCTGACATAATAGCAGCATGCCCACTTGCTGTCATAATAACAGCATGCCCACTTGCTGACAGTCCTACAAGGCTCGTGCCTGTGACAGCAGGTGACAGTGCCACACTCCCACGTGCAGCACATGTCAACAAAAGAGCTTGTCGTTGCCACTGAGAGTCTCTGTGGAGGAGAAGTTGTGCAGAGAGCTGGTGACACTGCCACCCACCAGCACCTGTTGACTTCACAGTTAATCAACATACTATGTTCACTTGCTGACATCAATACAAGGCTTCCTTATCCCATCCTCACCTGCAGCACATGTCACGGAAAAACTTGTCGCTGCCGTTGAGAATCTCTGTGGAGGAGAAGTTGTGCAGACAGCTGGTGACACTCCCACCTGCTGACAGCCCTACAATGTTCCCTTCCCATGCTCACCTGCAGCAAGTATCGCAGAAGAACTTGTCGTTGCCGTTCAGAGTTTCTGTTGAGGAGAAGTTGCGCAGGCAGCTGGTGACGCTGCTGTTCTGCTCGATGTCCAGTGAGAGGTCCAGAAACGCCTCGTCTCTAGCTGTCACGGTCTCGCAGCACAGACAACGGGTTTCGTTTGTTAAGGTACCCTGGGGCGGGAGAAGGTCGAGTGGGAGGGGGATGGGAAGGGAGGCGGGGAACATGAAGTTGCGCGGGCAGCTGGTGAAGTGACACTGCTGTTCTGCTCGATGTCCAACGACAGGTCCAAAAAGGCTTCATCCCGTGCCGTCACTGTCTCATAACACAGGCAGCGCGTCTCGTTCGTCAACGTGCCCTGAGGAGGGAGACGGGAAGGTCAGAGAGGTGAGAGGGATGAGAGGGGGTGAGATGTTGCTTCACCACCCCAGCAGCACACACCCCAGCAGCACACACCTGGATTATCTCATGCACTCACGTAACAACCATTGGTTTCGCCCTCCAGCACTCCCAGCAGCAGCACTTGCAGCAGCTGCTCCCCCAGCTCCAGTCCCAGCCCAGCACCCGCCACTTCCAGCCCCCCAGCATACACAGGGATAGCCACTCACCTCAGCAGCACACACCCCAGCAGCACACACCCCAGCAGCACACACCCCAGCAGCACACACCCGAGCAGCACACACACCAGCAGCACACAAACCCGAGCAGCACACACACCCGAGCAGCACACACACCCGAGCAGCACACACACCCGAGCAGCACACACACCCGAGCAGCACATACCTGGAATTACTCATGCATGCACCCATGTCAGCTTCGCCCCACTGCCGGCCCCACCAGCAGCAGCTATTCTCACAGCCTCAGCCGCAGACCCAGCACACACAGGGATAGCCACAAACCTGGAAAATCTCATGCGCCCATGTCAAAACCATTGGATTCGCCCCACTGCCGCCCCCACCAACAGCACTCCCAGCAGCTGCCCCCCCAGCAGCAACCTTAGCAGCACCCCAGCAGCACACACCTGGAAAATCTCATGCACCCATGTAACAACCGTTGGTTTCGCCCCTCCAGCACTCCCAGCAGCTGTTCCCCCCGCCCCAGCCCCCGCTGCTGCTGCGGCTGCAGCAGCCGCAGATGCAGCCGCAGCTGCAGCAGCAGCAGAACCCAAACTGGCAGATCCCCCATCCACTGCAACTACACTCGCTCCTCCCCCGTCACCCTCTCTCCCCTCCCCCGCTCCCTCACTCCCTCTCGCCCCTCCCTCCGACCTAACAGCAGTAACAGCAGTAACAGCAGCGCCACCAGAAGCACCCGGAGCACCAGCAGGGGCAGCAGCAGCAGGTGGGTTGGGGTGGATGATCCTGCTCGCCTCTGCCCTGCCAGCCCGCGCCTCCTTCTCTAGAATATCAACCAGCTCGTTGAGAAGGAAATTGAGGAACTCGTGGGCGTCCTGGTGGAGGTGGGGGTGGGGGTGGGGGCGGGGGTGGGGGTGGGGGTGGGGGTGGGGGGTATGGGATGGGTGTATAAGAGAGGAAGGGGAAAGCGCCTCCTTCTCTAGAATACCAACCAGCTCGTTGAGAAGGAAGTTAAGGAACTCATAAATTTCCTGATGGGATTTGAAGGGGGGGCGTGGGGGAGGGAGGAGCTGATGCCTGAGCCTCACCTGGTGTCTGAAATTCCCCCTGACGGCTGAACATTTACCAGATTACATCTGACGCCTTAGCTTTTGTTGGCCTAACTCTTCTCAGCTACTTTCACCTGGTACATGCAATTTCACCTGATGCCTGGATTTTCACCTGGCGCCTGGATTTTCACCTGGTGCATGTAGCTGCGGAAGAGCTCCTTCTGCTTCTTCACTCGCTGCACGAAGCGGCGCGGCGCAATGACCCCTGTCTTGCGCTTCTGGGAGTTGATCTGCCATGAGGGAGGGTAGACGTGAAGCAAGCATGGGGAGAGGGGAGGAGGAAGGAAAGGGGGGGTAGGGTGGGGGGTAAGGAAAGAAAAGGGCATAAATATTTCTTTGAGCGGCATGAAGCGGCAAGGCGCAATGACCCCCGTCTTGCGCTTCTGGGAGTTGATCTGCCATGACGGAGCGACGGGGGGGGGGGGGGGGGAGGGAGTGTTGGATGGCAATCAGGAAAGGAGGCGACGTGGGTTGACTTCACGCAGGAGCATGCGAGGTGCAATGACGCCCCCCTTGCGCTTCTGCGAGTTGATCTGAAAAAAAAAAAAAAAAAAAAAAAAAGGAAGAAAGAAAGATAGCCGAGAATAATTTCAAAAATCCTGAGGCGTAGTACAAGGAGAGATGATAAAAGGCCTCAGGACCGCTTCAAAAATCCTGAAAAAAGGCCAGGGAGAGAGATATCAGATCTGACCCTGGGCAACAACTAAACAGAACAACATACCTCGTTGAAGAGCAGGGAGTTTTTGAGAATTCTCAAAAACTCCAAACAGAACAACAGACCTGGTTGAAGAGCTCTGCAAGGCACGTGAGGAGCGTCTCCTCGGACTCGTTCGCTGGCTTGTGCTTGGCATAGTAGTCCAGCAGGTGCTCTCGGAAGGGCACACAGAAGTAGAGCGCCTGTATTGGGTGGTATGGTAAGATATGGTGCAGTGCGGTGCATCGGGGTGCGGTGTGGTGTGATGAGGAGGAAAAGAGGCTAGAAGTTGTGTCCCTCCAAAGTAAAGAGCGTCTCCTCGGACTCGCTGGCTGGCTTGTGCTTGGCATGGTAGTCCAGCAGGTGCTCACGGAACGGCACACAGAAATACAGCGCATGCTCATGTGATATGGTGCGGTGCGATGTGGTGGGGTGTGGTGTGGTTTGATGAGGACGTAAAGAGGTGAGAATTCGTGGACCTCCAAGGTGGAGATAAAATTGGCGGACTCGTTCGCTGGCTTGTGCTTGCTTGGCATGGAAATCCAGCAGGTGCTTGCGGCTTTCGAGACGTCTCAAAAGTCAAAAGGGCCCCTCCAACCAAGGTAAAAGGGGTCTCCTCGGACTCGTTCGCTGGCTTGTTCTTGCTTGACGTAATAATCCAGCAGGTGCTGGCAGAATAGCACAGAGAAGTAGAGCGCCTGGAGTGGGTCATGCGGTGCGGTTAGGTGTGGTGCAATGTGGTGTAGTGCAGCGGTAATGACAAAGCACACAGAAATGAGAACAGACACTAGAGAAGCTTTCTGGGCCTGCGCTTTGCATGGTAGTCCAGATGGTGCTCGCGAGATGGCACACCGAAGAAGCAGAGCGCCTGGAAATGAGCATGGTTCCTCATGAGCATGGTTCCTCGTGAGCATGGTTCCTCAGGAGCATGGTTCCTCATGAGCATGGTTCCTCATGAGCATGGTTCCTCATGAGCATGGTTCCTCACGAGCATGGTTCCTCACGAGCATGGTTCCTCACGAGCATGGTTCCTCATGAGCATGGTTCCTCATGAGCATGGTTCCTCACGAGCATGGTTCCTCACGAGCATGGTTCCTCATGAGCATGGTTCCTCATGAGCATGGTTCCTCATGAGCATGGTTCCTCATGAGCATGGTTCCTCAGGAGCATGGTTCCTCATGAGCATGGTTCCTCATGAGCATGGTTCCTCATGAGCATGGTTCCTCATGAGCATGGTTCCTCAGGAGCATGGTTCCTCATGAGCATGGTTCCTCAGGAGCATGGTTCCTCATGAGCATGGTTCCTCATGAGCATGGTTCCTCATGAGCATGGTTCCTCATGAGCATGGTTCCTCATGAGCAGGTAAGGAGGGAGGGTGAGTGAGTGAGTGCATGGCGGCCAGGGGACATGAGGGCGAGGAGGTAAGGTTGTTACTAGAGGAGACTCTTCCGACAGAATGGTGATCCTGTGCACCATTCTTACCATTCTTCAGTTTGGTCAGATTAGTAATCTGATCTGACCATACTCAAGAATGGTAAGAATGGCATAGGACCTGCAGAACATGAGGAACTGGCGCACTAATCTGACCAAACTAAAGTGCAAACGCCCAAATCCAATCCCCAAGTGATGGCTCACCTGTAGCACGCTGTTGCAGTAGCAAGTGTTGCCAAAGGTGCATACGAGCCCTAAAATAACCTAGAAGCACATAAAGGCATCTAAATTACTGTATGACCTATCGTGATGACTCACCTGCAGCACGCTGTTGCAGTAGCACGTGTTCCCGAAGTTCTCGAGGCCAAAGTACCGCTCTCCCTCGGGAAACGCATCTCCCAGCGCCCGCTCTAGCTTCGACCCCGACCCCCCGATGATGGTGTTGAACACCTGCGTCCATGCAGCAGAGAGGGGGTTGGAGCACAAACCAACCAATGAAACGCGTGCCACGTGGCACGGGGGTTCACACACACAGGTGCTTGCTCTTTCCAGCTCGGACCCTGATCTGACCTGACCTGACCCCCCAGTGATGGTGTCGAACACCTGCTTTGGCTGGACGCAGCAAAAAAGGGGTTTGATATGGTAAGGGGGATTGAACACCTGTGTGCGTGGAGGAGCAAAAAGTGTCTCACACTCACGCTGGCCATCATCATGCGCGCTGTGCGGCGAACCAGGACTCACAGGTACACGAGCAGGTACACGAGCAGGTACACCAAGCCTGAAAAGGCCGGAAACAAACCCTCGACCCGAATTTTTAAGACATCTCAGCAATAGCCATGAATCAAGATGCTGCCTCTCACTCACCCTGGCCAGCATGATGCGCGCTGTGCGGCGAACCAGGACGCGCAGGTACACGAGCAGGCACAGCAGGCCTGAAAAGCCTGGAAGCAGGCCCTCGACCCGACTTCTGAGACGTCGCACAAATAGTAATGATGAAGTCTGACAGTCACCCTAGCCGCTCACACTCACCCTGGCCAGCATGATGCGGGCTGTGCGGCGAACCAGGACTCGCAAGTAGACGAAAAGGTACACCAGGCCTGAAAAGGCCGGGAAAAGACCCTCGATCCGCTCCGTCGCTCCCGCCGCGCTCGCCGCAAAAAAATGCCAAAGGCTTGAAAGATAGAGGTATAGGCGGCGGCTTGAAGAGTCCGGAATAATGGCGTCAATTTCGTCCGTCGCGATCGGCGCCAAACCCGATAAGATGACTTTTGAGTCGACTCAGAAAGCTTGAGAAGGAGAGGTAGAGGCAGCGGCTTAGAGAATCCGGAATAATAGCGTCAATCTCTGCCCGGGCGCTCACATAATTTCTTGCCAGAATTTATAGCGTTTCTGTCGGCCTACGGTGAGAAACACAGTGATGGCTCCTTGCACGCAGGAAAGAGAAACCTGCACCCTATTACACGACAAAAGGCTGAATTAATCGCGTGCCAGACAGGACACCACACTGAGAGAAGGGCAAATCAACCGACTCATTTACAGCCCAAAACGTCGTGAGGCATAGCAGAAAAACATATCATGTCCTACAAACGGGTCGTATAACTCGCCGTGCACACTGGCAAGAGTCCAGGCAGTTCCTAATCCGCTCTAGGCCCAGTTCGGCAGGCATTAAAAAAACGGTTTCCCCGTATGGGCTACAGTAAACCGACCACCCTGGAACCTTCTTTGATAAGCGCGTGAAAGGTTATCTAGGCTCGATATAAGCGGATCATCACCAGACCAGACAATAATGGAATGCCAGCCGAACACCCCTTTTAGCAGTGCCATTTTCTATCCGATGAAACTTCCTCGGACCCTATTTCACAGGCAAACTGTCCATTTTCTCATCCGCCGCACCATGCGGCCTCGAGGCCCCGCACCATGCGGGGTATCAGTGATTCGGGGCAATCACACCTTGCCCCGAAAAAAACACATCTCTGTCTTTCGCACCCCACCTCGTGCCCAGAGGAAAATAACACAACTTCATCACACCATCACGAACACTTCGAACGCACTTGCCCATCGCGAACGCACTTCGACTTAGGGATAGCACTCGACTCCGCTCTACCTCTATACAACGATTTACTACCACCACCATCGGTATCATTCGTAGCCATGCAAAGACCGGAGCTACTAGGACGTCTTAAAGAGGTGTCCTCGACCACACAACGACGTAGTGCGTCAAACTCAGCCAGCGGCGGCTCCCTGCTCCCGTCGTGTAGTATGGATCTCTCAGCCGGTCACACTCCCAACGCTCAGTTCGGCTCAGGCAATGGCGGACCACCATTAGCGCCGACTATCATCCCCATGACCATGTGTTCTCAGACACGCCAACAATTAGTAGCGAACCCCGGAGTCCCATTGGCGTTTAGCGGACTTCAACTCGGTGGAAACGGAAGCATTAGAATCGGCGATTCCCAATCGCCGTCCCCACCAGACAGCGTACCGCCCCCTGCTATCGCACTTCATCGCGCAACAGGGTTGGTGATCCCCTCTGTTCCGCCGGCCTCCAACTCGACCGGGGAATGTGTACATGGGAGTGTGGGTCCAGCAAATGGCGCAGCGCAATCTCCACCTGAAATCGGCGCATCAGCAACCGTCGCTCCAAGTGGCGCGTCAGGGTTCGTCATCGCCACTGTTCCCCCGGTGCGCAGCTCGCTGGGAATCAATGGTAATGGGATTGCTGGTCCTGCAAACTCCGCTCCGCATTCTGCACCTGAAATCAGCGCTCCAGCTACCGTCGCACCTCCTGGCGCGACAGGATTCATGCTGCCCACGGTTCAACCGGCGCTCGACCTGGTGGGACTGGGTGTAAATGGGAGTGCTGGTCCAGCTGCCGCCTCTGTGCAGTCTACACCGTTGATCGTCGCAGCTGATTCCGTCGCTCCTAATAGCGCGCCATCATTCGTGATTCCCACCGTGCGTCCGGTGCTCGACTCGGTTGGGTTGGGTGTAAATGGGAGTAGTGGTACGCAGGGTGGATCCGTTGATGCCAATAGGCAGTCCACTCACACACCTGGTGACGTTCCGTATAACACCAGCAATGGCGCCACACCTCCCACTCCTGGATACAGCGTACGGCCAGGGGCAGCAACAACTGCAACCACGCAGGGGGCGTCGTCCTCCTTCAACTGGGCTGCACGGTCATCCTTCAGATCGGGCGGTAATGACCGCAACGGTGCACGCAGGGGTGGACAGAGGCGGCCTTCTCCAAGTGGTACGCGCATGGTAGACAGCGTTGCACGTGGTGATGAGATGACGGAAACGTGTAGCGTAGGCGGCAATGGGCGCGTGTGCACAGCCAAATGGACTCACGAACTGACGACCGATTTGCTAACCATCATACTCCAATTGCAACAGGCACACGGTTTGCAGCCACACGACCCAGTCGGGAGCTGGAGAGACGTTCACCTCGAATGGACAAGCATGCATGCTGACTACCCTTACACCGCGCATCAACTGGAGAATCGGCTGCGCGTGGTGAAGCGATGGCTGCCCGAAATCAAGTGGCTGCAGGATCAAGTGAAGTCAGGGATCAACTGGAACCCTAGGACCCAGCCTTTCAGACCCCCCCCATCGGTGAGTCATTACTCTTGAGTGATCATACATATGCTGATCCACTCCAACGGGCGGAATATGTATGAACGTCATCGGCAGCCCCTGTTCCCATACTTGCTCACCTTGTTCCTAAACGTGCAGGTTCTGGCAGAGGTGTCCGGGCACCAAATGTGGCGGGAGAGGGCGCATAGGTGGCAAAACGATATTGCCCCCTGGCTTGACCTTGCAGCGCAGCTCGATTCCAACGGCCGGACTCGAGGTGGGTACGCAACAACGGGTGATGAAGGCCCGCGCGTCTACCCAGACGATCCGGGCGCACTGGGCGAGGAAGCGCCTTCGGAGGGAACGGCGGAAGGACAGGAGGTGGGAGACGAGGAGGAAGCGGTTGAGGGATATGATTCACCCAATGGAGTGGACGGCCAGACCAACGCCAGTGGGCTTGGGCTGGGTGACGATCGTGGGCACGAAGACCACAATGTCCGCGCAACATCCCAGCCTTCTGCCCATGGTGAAGGTGCCAGAGCGAGACGAGGCTCGGGAGGCACAGCCTCACCCGGGCGTGGCTCGGGAGGGGGGAGTGCGCGCTCGCGGTCTGTGCGCAACCGGGCCAGCGGGGGGCAACCTGCATCGGTGAGCCAGGGCAACGGTTCCCCACTCAATGGGAACAACAGGCGTGGTAACGACAGTGCTAGCCCATCATCACAAGGGACACGAAGCACTGGAAATAAACGGCAGCGGCGGGCTGAAGCTTCTAGTATTGCAAGGAGTTTGGACACTCTCGCATCCGCTGCTACACAACCGATGAATCACTGCCACAGAGGTAAGGTACTTCCATCACAAGGTCGCATTAGCACACCACTGGCCTTCCGAGATAGTAGGTTCATATAACAGCGTGCATTGTCCCTTGCTCCCGCAGATCCACTACGTGATGACGTCGTCAGAGCTGGGGAGTTGCTTGCTGCAATGGACCCACCGTCAGAGCGCCACAGACTGCGTCTCGCCCGCCTGTTTGGCAGTGAACCTGCCCTTGCCTCTCTTTTTATCACCCTGGGGCCGGGGACGCGAGAGGCCTGGCTGAGGGGTGAAGACCTCCCAAGTCCCCCCTCAGCTACACCTGGGCAGGAGTGAAGATTGGTACAGGGTAAGAGTCCATTTGAGGGGGGCCAGGATTGTGTGAGCTCGGTTGTGGCGGCTATGGGTGTGTGTGCAGGCGTGGGTGCGGCTATGGGTGCGTGTGCAGGCAACGGTGTGGCTATGGGTGTGTGTGCAGGCGTGGGTGCGGCTATGGGTGTGTGTGCATGCGTGGGTGTGGCTATGGGTGTGTGTGCAGGCAACGGTGTGGCTATGGGTGTGTGTGCGTGCTGGGGAGTTGGCTATGGGTGTGTGTGCATGCAACGGTGTGACTATGGGTGTGTGTGCAGGCGTGGGTGTGGCTATGGGTGTGTGTGCATGTCATGGTAATTCCTCCCTCCTGCATCTAATGCGTGCCCGTCACTCCCATCCCCTGATCTGCAGCTACTGCACGCCACCGTCCAGTGGTGCATGTCGAGACCTGATCCATGAATGTCAATCCAGTGCTGATATCACAGAGCACGTGAGATATTCTAGATGCCTATTTATGTGGTCCAGCTTGTGGGCTAACCCTCGCAACCGTTGTAGGGCCTTAATGCACATAGTCAGGAAAGTGTGATGATAAGCCGGATCTAATCACGGCATTGCCCTAGTTTCTGATTGTAAGGATCTCTTCACTGTTAGGTGGCAATCCAAGGCACAGCTTGTTGTGTTCACAAGTCCAGGGCAGTCCACAAACCAATGAGTCTCCACCGTGCTTGACTAATACATGTTTTTTTATGCCGCAACACCTAGTACGGGAATTGTACAAGGCTAAACTAACTGGTAACTATATGCCCGAGCGTTCTTAATCAAACATTCATCCGGGACGACCACAGAGCATTGGCAATCTGGTCACGCCGCTGCTGCCCGAGTAGTGACGACTGTCGTGCACTCTCCGACCGTATGAGTACTTCGTGCAGAGCGTTGGATTCATGATCATCCTCGGTGCTGGAGTCATATGTGAAGTCAGCGCCTCCGCCGAGCTTTATGAAATTGTGAAGCACGAAGCATGCAATAACTATGTCACATTGCATGGCATAGGAATAGGGACGCATCAGCTTAAGAATGGGAAACCGAGCCTTCACCAACATGAGAACGCATGCCGGAATGCGTACGGTTGAAGAGCTCCTCTTTCTTCTCAGGCGCGCGCCTTGCTTGCTGCCAGCGCGCTTGGTGATATAACACCTGACGGTAGGGAGAAAGGCACTGCGCGTCGTTACGAAATCCTGAATCGGCGAGCAGGTACTTGCCACGAGGTATGTGGAGACCCTTCTGCAGAGCACCCTGGAAGACGGATGAATCATGGGAGGATCCCTCCCAGCCGGCTAACACGAATAAGAACAGGTCAGTGAAGGAGACGACCGCTAGGACGTTCTGTGAAACGTTGCCGTGACGATCATAGAAGGCTTGTTGCCTGTCAGCACGGATGCATGCTGGAATCAAGGTCCCATCTACCGCACCGAGGGCGCCTCGAAAATGTGCATACTCAGGGCGTGATTCGAGGAAGTCGGTGTCTTCCTCTGATGGCATTCTAATGAAGATCGGTTTTAGCCTAAGAATGGCAGCGGTCACTTCGGCAATTAGCGCACTGATCGTTGCACCGCTGTGTTGCCAGCGCTCTTGCAGGGCGCGATTGGATGCTGCATGCCCTACAAAACTCAAGAAGATCAATAACTTTTCGGATAGGCCTATTTGCCTCCCAGGCGTCAAAAACTCCCTACAGCTGATGAGATTGCACAGTCTGATGAACAACGAGGGTTCCATTCGTACGGCTGTACGCATTCGCTCCGGGTGTCCCGTCTGTAACTCATGAGCGTAAGCTCTGCCACTCAACGCTGAGGTATGTAGAGGCTGGTGCATGTATCTGCTAGCAGCTTTGGCTATTAGATCATACAGGATTATACGGAGAGCTGCTGTCCGGCCGTTAACGATTTGCTCTACGAGGCTGTATCGAGAGTTGCTGTCATATCCGAGGGTGATATTTAATTTCGGGAGGCCTAAGGGATTGAAAGAGCCAGACATACTGGTCAAAATATACTAGGCTGGTCGAGATGTTCCAAGGCAGGAGGATCAGTTTCAACGCTGGGTGATTGTCTACGTGCTGAAGGGTGTTGGAGCGAGCGAGACAGGAAGGAAGGACTCTCCCGTTTTTTTTTTCAACGTTCACCACTGGTTTGCAGGGGTGCCCGGGCTGCCTGCACAGTGATTCTGCGCTCCAGCAGCGCAGCTGCATGCGGGCTTCTGCGCAGGGCCTTTCACGGGTGATGCCCTTTTTAATGGCCCATTTAATGCCAACCGAACGCACTACCCATTTTTTCCGAAGTTGCGCTGGGGCTACAGGCTGGCTTCGCTGCTGTTTCGAGGGGCCATTTTTTGGGGGCCCGTTAAAATTGCCGATAATGGCGATAATGGCCATAATGCCGCCGAACAGGGCCCTAGTCGCCGTGTGTGGCCCAGTTCGGCAGGCATTAAAAAAACGGTTTCCCCGTATGGGCTACAGTAAACCGACCACCCTGGAACCTTCTTTGATAAGCGCGTGAAAGGTTATCTAGGCTCGATATAAGCGGATCATCACCAGACCAGACAATAATGGAATGCCAGCCGAACACCCCTTTTAGCAGTGCCATTTTCTATCCGATGAAACTTCCTCGAACCCTTTTTCTCAGGCAAACTGTCCATTTTCTCATCCGCCGCACCATGCGGCCTCGAGGCCCCGCACCATGCGGGGTATCAGTGATTCGGGGCAATCACACCTTGCCCCGAAAAAAACACATCTCTGTCTTTCGCACCCCACCTCGTGCCCAGAGGAAAATAACACAACTTCATCACACCATCACGAACACTTCGAACGCACTTGCCCATCGCGAACGCACTTCGACTTAGGGATAGCACTCGACTCCGCTCTACCTCTATACAACGATTTACTACCACCACCATCGGTATCATTCGTAGCCATGCAAAGACCGGAGCTACTAGGACGTCTTAAAGAGGTGTCCTCGACCACACAACGACGTAGTGCGTCAAACTCAGCCAGCGGCGGCTCCCTGCTCCCGTCGTGTAGTATGGATCTCTCAGCCGGTCACACTCCCAACGCTCAGTTCGGCTCAGGCAATGGCGGACCACCATTAGCGCCGACTATCATCCCCATGACCATGTGTTCTCAGACACGCCAACAATTAGTAGCGAACCCCGGAGTCCCATTGGCGTTTAGCGGACTTCAACTCGGTGGAAACGGAAGCATTAGAATCGGCGATTCCCAATCGCCGTCCCCACCAGACAGCGTACCGCCCCCTGCTATCGCACTTCATCGCGCAACAGGGTTGGTGATCCCCTCTGTTCCGCCGGCCTCCAACTCGACCGGGGAATGTGTACATGGGAGTGTGGGTCCAGCAAATGGCGCAGCGCAATCCCCACCTGAAATCGGCGCATCAGCAACCGTCGCTCCAAGTGGCGCGTCAGGGTTCGTCATCGCCACTGTTCCCCCGGTGCGCAGCTCGCTGGGAATCAATGGTAATGGGATTGCTGGTCCTGCAAACTCCGCTCCGCATTCTGCCTTTGAAATCAGCGCTCCAGCTACCGTCGCACCTCCTGGCGCGACAGGATTCATGCTGCCCACGGTTCAACCGGCGCTCGACCTGGTGGGACTGGGTGTAAATGGGAGTGCTGGTCCAGCTGCCGCCTCTGTGCAGTCTACACTGTTGATCGTCGCAGCTGATTCCGTCGCTCCTAATAGCGCGCCATCATTCGTGATTCCCACCGTGCGTCCGGTGCTCGACTCGGTTGGGTTGGGTGTAAATGGGAGTAGTGGTACGTAGGGTGGATCCGTTGATGCCAATAGGCAGTCCACTCACACACCTGGTGACGTTCCGTATAACACCAGCAATGGCGCCACACCTCCCACTCCTGGATACAGCGTACGGCCAGGGGCAGCAACAACTGCAACCACGCAGGGGGCGTCGTCCTCCTTCAACTGGGCTGCACGGTCATCCTTCAGATCGGGCGGTAATGACCGCAACGGTGCACGCAGGGGTGGACAGAGGCGGCCTTCTCCAAGTGGTACGCACATGGTAGACAGCGTTGCACGTGGTGATGAGATGACGGAAACGTGTAGTGTAGGCGGCAATGGGCGCGTGTGCACAGCCAAATGGACTCACGAACCGACGACCGATTTGCTAACCATCATACTCCAATTGCAACAGGCACACGGTTTGCAGCCACACGACCCAGTCGGGAGCTGGAGAGACGTTCACCTCGAATGGACAAGCATGCATGCTGACTACCCTTACACCGCGCATCAACTGGAGAATCGCCTGCGCGTGGTGAAGCGATGGCTGCCCGAAATCAAGTGGCTGCAGGATCAAGTGAAGTCAGGGATCAACTGGAACCCTAGGACCCAGCCTTTCAGACCCCCCCCATCGGTGAGTCATTACTCTTGAGTGATCATATATATGCTGATCCACTCCAACGGGCGGAATATGTCTGAACGTCATCGGCAGCCCCTGTTCCCATACTTGCTCACCTTGTTCCTAAACGTGCAGGTTCTGGCAGAGGTGTCCGGGCACCAAATGTGGCGGGAGAGGGCGCATAGGTGGCAAAACGATATTGCCCCCTGGCTTGACCTTGCAGCGCAGCTCGATTCCAACGGCGGGACTCGAGGTGGGTACGCAACAACGGGTGATGAAGGCCCACACGTCTACCCAGACGATCCGGGCGCACTGGGCGAGGAAGCGCCTTCGGAGGGAACGGCGGAAGGACAGGAGGTGGGAGACGAGGAGGAAGCGGTTGAGGGATATGATTCACCCAATGGAGTGGACGGCCAGACCAACGCCAGTGGGCTTGGGCTGGGTGACGATCGTGGGCACGAAGACCACAATGTCCGCGCAACATCCCAGCCTTCTGCCCATGGTGAAGGTGCCAGAGCGAGACGAGGCTCAGGAGGCACAGCCTCACCCGGGCGTGGCTCGGGAGGGAGGAGTGCGCGCTCGCGGTCTGTGCGCAACCGGGCCAGCGGGGGGCAACCTGCATCGGTGAGCCAGGGCAACGGTTCCCCACTCAATGGGAACAACAGGCGTGGTAACGACAGTGCTAGCCCATCATCACAAGGGACACGAAGCACTGGAAATAAACGGCAGCGGCGGGCTGAAGCTTCTAGTATTGCAAGGAGTTTGGACACTCTCGCATCCGCTGCTACACAACCGATGAATCACTGCCACAGAGGTAAGGCACTTCCATCACAAGGTCGCATTAGCACACCACTGGCCTTCCGAGATAGTAGGTTCATATAACAGCGTGCATTGTCCCTTGCTCCCGCACATCCACTACGTGATGACGTCGTCAGAGCTGGGGAGTTGCTTGCTGCAATGGACCCACCGTCAGAGCGCCACAGACTGCGTCTCGCCCGCCTGTTTGGCAGTGAACCTGCCCTTGCCTCTCTTTTTATCACCCTGGGGCCGGGGACGCGAGAGGCCTGGCTGAGGGGTGAAGACCTCCCAAGTCCCCCCTCAGCTACACCTGGGCAGGAGTGAAGATTGGTACAGGGTAAGAGTCCATTTGAGGGGGGCCAGGATTGTGTGAGCTCGGTTGTGGCGGCTATGGGTGTGTGTGCAGGCGTGGGTGCGGCTATGGGTGCGTGTGCAGGCAACGGTGTGGCTATGGGTGTGTGTGCAGGCGTGGGTGCGGCTATGGGTGTGTGTGCATGCGTGGGTGTGGCTATGGGTGTGTGTGCAGGCAACGGTGTGGCTATGGGTGTGTGTGCGTGCTGGGGAGTTGGCTATGGGTGTGTGTGCATGCAACGGTGTGACTATGGGTGTGTGTGCAGGCGTGGGTGTGGCTATGGGTGTGTGTGCATGTCATGGTAATTCCTCCCTCCTGCATCTAATGCGTGCCCGTCACTCCCATCCCCTGATCTGCAGCTACTGCACGCCACCGTCCAGTGGTGCATGTCGAGACCTGATCCATGAATGTCAATCCAGTGCTGATATCACAGAGCACGTGAGATATTCTAGATGCCTATTTATGTGGTCCAGCTTGTGGGCTAACCCTCGCAACCGTTGTAGGGCCTTAATGCACATAGTCAGGAAAGTGTGATGATAAGCCGGATCTAATCACGGCATTGCCCTAGTTTCTGATTGTAAGGATCTCTTCACTGTTAGGTGGCAATCCAAGGCACAGCTTGTTGTGTTCACAAGTCCAGGGCAGTCCACAAACCAATGAGTCTCCACCGTGCTTGACTAATACATGTTTTTTTATGCCGCAACACCTAGTACGGGAATTGTACAAGGCTAAACTAACTGGTAACTATATGCCCAAGCGTTCTTAATCAAACATTCATCCGGGACGACCACAGAGCATTGGCAATCTGGTCACGCCGCTGCTGCCCGAGTAGTGACGACTGTCGTGCACTCTCCGACCGTATGAGTACTTCGTGCAGAGCGTTGGATTCATGATCATCCTCGGTGCTGGAGTCATATGTGAAGTCAGCGCCTCCGCCGAGCTTTATGAAATTGTGAAGCACGAAGCATGCAATAACTATGTCACATTGCATGGCATAGGAATAGGGACGCATCAGCTTAAGAATGGGAAACCGAGCCTTCACCTGCCCAAAAGCGTATTCAACATGAGAACGCATGCCGGAATGCGTACGGTTGAAGAGCTCCTCTTTCTTCTCAGGCGCGCGCCTTGCTTGCTGCCGGCGCGCTTGGTGATATAACACCTGACGGTAGGGAGAAAGGCACTGCGCGTCGTTACGAAATCCTGAATCGGCGAGCAGGTACTTGCCGCGAGGTATGTGGAGACCCTTCTGCAGAGCACCCTGGAAGACGGATGAATCATGGGAGGATCCCTCCCAGCCGGCTAACACGAATAAGAACAGGTCAGTGAAGGAGACGACCGCTAGGACGTTCTGTGAAACGTTGCCGTGACGATCATAGAAGGCTTGTTGCCTGTCAGCACGGATGCATGCTGGAATCAAGGTCCCATCTACCGCACCGAGGGCGCCTCGAAAATGTGCATACTCAGGGCGTGATTCGAGGAAGTCGGTGTCTTCCTCTGATGGCATTCTAATGAAGATCGGTTTTAGCCTAAGAATGGCAGCGGTCACTTCGGCAATTAGCGCACTGATCGTTGCACCGCTGTGTTGCCAGCGCTCTTGCAGGGCGCGATTGGATGCTGCATGCCTTACAAAACTCAAGAAGATCAATAACTTTTCGGATAGGCCTATTTGCCTCTCAGGCGTCAAAAACTCCCTACAGCTGATGAGATTGCACAGTCTGATGAACAACGAGGGTTCCATTCGTACGGCTGTACGCATTCGCTCCGGGTGTCCCGTCTGTAACTCATGAGCGTAAGCTCTGCCACTCAACGCTGAGGTATGTAGAGGCTGGTGCATGTATCTGCTAGCAGCTTTGGCTATTAGATCATACAGGATTATACGGAGAGCTGCTGTCCGGCCGTTAACGATTTGCTCTACGAGGCTGTATCGAGAGTTGCTGTCATATCCGAGGGTGATGTTTAATTTCGGGAGGCCTAAGGGATTGAAAGAGCCAGACATACTGGTCGAAATATACTAGGCTGGTCGAGATGTTCCAAGGCAAGAGGATCAGTTTCAACGCTGGGTGATTGTCTACGTGCTGAAGGGTGTTGGAGCGAGCGAGACAGGAAGGAAGGACTCTCCCGTTTTTTTTTCAACGTTCACCACTGGTTAGCAGGGGTGCCCGGGCTGCCTGCACAGTGATTCTGCGCTCCAGCAGCGCAGCTGCATGCGGGCTTCTGCGCAGGGCCTTTCACGGGTGATCCCCTTTTAATGGCCCATTTAATGCCAACCGAACGCACTACCCATTTTTTCCGAAGTTGCGCTGGGGCTACAGGCTGGCTTCGCTGCTGTTTCGAGGGGCCATTTTTTGGGGGCCCGTTAAAATTGCCGATAATGGCGATAATGGCCATAATGCCGCCGAACAGGGCCCTAGTCGCCGTGTGTGGCCCAGTTCGGCAGGCATTAAAAAAACGGTTTCCCCGTATGGGCTACAGTAAACCGACCACCCTGGAACCTTCTTTGATAAGCGCGTGAAAGGTTATCTAGGCTCGATATAAGCGGATCATCACCAGACCAGACAATAATGGAATGCCAGCCGAACACCCCTTTTAGCAGTGCCATTTTCTATCCGATGAAACTTCCTCGAACCCTTTTTCTCAGGCAAACTGTCCATTTTCTCATCCGCCGCACCATGCGGCCTCGAGGCCCCGCACCATGCGGGGTATCAGTGATTCGGGGCAATCACACCTTGCCCCGAAAAAAACACATCTCTGTCTTTCGCACCCCACCTCGTGCCCAAAGGAAAATAACACAACTTCATCACACCATCACGAACACTTCGAACGCACTTGCCCATCGCGAACGCACTTCGACTTAGGGATAGCACTCGATTCCGCTCTACCTCTATACAACGATTTACTACCACCACCATCGGTATCATTCGTAGCCATGCAAAGACCGGAGCTACTAGGACGTCTTAAAGAGGTGTCCTCGACCACACAACGACGTAGTGCGTCAAACTCAGCCAGCGGCGGCTCCCTGCTCCCGTCGTGTAGTATGGATCTCTCAGCCGGTCACACTCCCAACGCTCAGTTCGGCTCAGGCAATGGCGGACCACCATTAGCGCCGACTATCATCCCCATGACCATGTGTTCTCAGACAGGCCAACAATTAGTAGCGAACCCCGGAGTCCCATTGGCGTTTAGCGGACTTCAACTCGGTGGAAACGGAAGCATTAGAATCGGCGATTCCCAATCGCCGTCCCCACCAGACAGCGTACCGCCC